ACTTTGAAACGGCACATAATGGAGAAATTAATTCAAATATAGTTTTTAGTATGTATAAGTTGTATTATTTTATATTATATGGTATGCATCGTATCACATTTTATAGTACTTTCATTTTTGATTAATTGATACATTTGTTTGACAGTTTATGCATAAATTATTTTGACTCTTTTTTTTGAATATTTAGTTGAAGAAAAAATAAAAACCATATGTGATCTTGTTAAATTCGTTTCAATGTATGATTACAAAAATTAAGATTTTCATAATTTATTGCTTATTAATAATTAAATATATTATTGTCTCAAAAAAATCATTAATATTTGAAATCATATATTATTAGCAAATATACCAAAAGTACGGACAAATTTTAATTAGTACTTCCATTTCAATGTCATCTCCACATAACTTATAATTGAACTGTCAAGTTCGAATTTTATGCTGTATATTTTTTACTAGGATTTCTTTTTTTTTTTTATTTTTTTTTTTGGCAGTGTTACTAGGATTTCTTATGACATAGAGTTGAATCACCCTTGTTCTATTAGTCAATTTAAGAGTTTAAAATTGAATTACACTGTAATTATATGTCCATAAACATAATTTTCTATAAACCTCGAATCCCGCGTTTACACGTAAGACCTTTCAAATATTTGTAACGAAGTCGTTGCAATGAGCTCATATGAGTGTAGAATTTTCGACGCACAATTGTCTCTTAAAGTGTCAGCCATGCACATTAAGTGACGTGTAGCGGATTGTGATGAGGGTGCCTAGTGAGAACAACCAAGGGCAAGTTATAGCAAGAAATTAGTTTTATAGATACTAACATTAGAGTTTTGTTAGATTACATATTTACATTACATGCATCAAAGCAATTTACATTACATGCGCCTATAATGGTGCATTATAGATTCAACTTCGAACTTTTAATTGTTCATACGCGCAAAATAAAAAAGGATGAAAGCAATTTATTTTTTGATCGAAGGAGTAAAATTTTACAATCATTCTCTTATTCTCCAACTAACTAACTTAATATGATGTTGCTTTTATTATGACTGTAAAAGTGCTTCACTATATTTATATGTTGTATTCACTGTTGTCTGCATATAAGTTGTCTTACATTGAAGAAAGATGAGTAAAAATACCACTTAATAAACTAATAGAATTATTTTACAGCATCGCAAATTAGTTTCAAAGTGGGATATTATTTAATTAGGCTTGTAAGCGCATCGAAATCTCCTCCATCCTTATTTAGTTTCCTTTATAGACCCATTTCACTTCTTCATTGTGTGGTATTATACGTGTTCAATTATAGTCTTCACCTAAATATCAAGTCTAATGCCAAGATCAAGATTAATTGTAAGCAAGATAGCTACCACTTCTCATTACTTTTGTTCTAAAACGTAACTAAATGACACAAGTATTTCATCATCAAATCGTGTGAACTATCCATGAAGTCAACCATAAAGTCTTTTTCCATATATATATATCATGCACTATCATTCGTATACGACTTCCTGACTAGTCACATTTGGAACATTATTCTTCCAATAATATACTGTATATATTATCATCATCACGATCATATAGTTTTCTTTTGTCTAACTAACTTAATTTTAATACTATATGTCTAAGCTTATTCGGTTATTTTCCTATATATACACATTTTCACTTCACATTATCCTTATTAGTAAGTTAAGGTCACCTCATTTACTCATTTTCTCAGCTTGTAGTCCTACATATATACTACAACTTAAATAACATATATCTTGATTAGTCTCAAATTCTCAATAGCTAGACATGACCGTCGGAGGCGATGGTAGACTCCACTTTATGGTACGAGTCATCACGGGGCGGTGGTTCATGGTGTTTTCCACCATCCTAGTGATGTCCATGGCAGGGGCAACCTACATGTTTGGATTGTACTCGCCGGACATAAAAAGGTCCCTAGGGTATGATCAAAGTACGTTAAACCTCCTTAGTTTTTTCAAAGACTTGGGGTCTACGGTAGGAATACCCGCCGGTCTACTGATGGAAATCGCACCACCTTGGGTGGTTCTAACCGTGGGTGCGATCCTCAACTTCTTCGGTTACTTTATGATTTGGCTCGCCGTTTCAGGCCATATAGCCAGGCCTGCCGTTTGGCAAATGTGTCTCTATATTTTTATAGGTACGTGCTTTTAATTAGTAACTCTATGTTATATTACATGCATTTAATCTTCAAATATATCTTAGTATCGATCTTATGATATTGATATTTGACACTATCTATCCAATTAGCTTAGTGAAAGAAATACAATAATTCTTAGCAGATAGCTAATCTCATATGTTATGCCATTTGCTTAATATTGCCAAATTGAGTAGTTATTGTTAGAGAACCATATAAACCAAAAGCTTAAGCTGATGGTTGGGGCACAAGAATATGTTTTATACTCTATCACACCCCCTTACACGAGAGCCCGTTAAGCTAGAAGCTGGATGTAGGATGGACCCACCTCATACCCTGTGCTTAATATTCCACTTTGAAAGGAGGGGTGGATGAGATTCAAACTCAAGACATTTGTGTCACGTTGGCTCTAATACCATGTTAGTGGACCAACTCAACTAAAAGTTTAAGCTGGTGGTTGAGGCTTAGGATTATGTTTTATACTCTATTGGTAAAAGAGCAATTTTAATATTGGATAAGTGTTAGCATTTTCTCTGCCAATCGTCATTTACAATATATTCATTAAGAGCTTATTTGCATCATAAATTATTGTTTGAAGAACTAAGAATTATTGTTATGCTGCGTAAATTACTTTTCTTTATTTACGGATATGAGTACTAGTTACAAGCTTACAACAACATGTATTATACTAGTTTAGAAATGTTAACATAGAAAAGAGACGCTCATATCATAGATCACCATGCATAGAAAAGTAACAATGATTTGAAACCTACATCTCTAAGATATGAGCTGAGGTTAAAAGCTTTATCAAGTAAGCCGGTCTTATTTGGTACCACGCTCCAGCCATCTCAATTTGCATCTCCCATTTAACAAAAAAAATGTGAAAGTTTTTATCAGATAAGATAAAGACAGATGGACTATATAATTATTTTACGGAGTACAAAAAATGTCTTTTCAAATAGTCTTATATGTGGGGAATTATAGTCTAATTATTTAGGTGATGTATTAGGTTAAATATTTCGTAGTTTAAATTTCAACAAGGATAAAATTATAGACGAAAGTAGGCAACGAATGAGCAAGAGGGAACACTGAACAGGAATTTGTCCCTCCTAAATTTCCGAGATTGCAATACGAATAATTTCCAGAGTCGAGACCACGGCATCAATGTGATTTTGTGATCTACCCTTTAATTTAATTAGTCTAGTGGAGACGACAATTTGCCTTTAAAAAAAAAAACTTTTTTTTTTACAAAAATAATTGTACTAGTATCATTTTGGATATGAGTCAAAATATGACAATATGACATATCTACATATTTTGTTTGACCCACTTATATAACAGTAAAGCAACTAGTGCAACAACTCATCAAATAATGTGACAGCTCTAGAGAAAGGGGTCTTTGAGAATTGAGATAATGCATCCATGTATGTACCACACACGCACTGAACTTTAATTTTACGTTTTAAATGAGCAAGCAAATAGTTATACATACAGCGGATTGCACTATGATGAATTTACATTTTTTAGTTGAGCTTTGTGTGCTTTAGCGATTATATATATATATATAGCCTAATTCTTACTTTTTCGTAAATTTATCTGTACTAATATGACAGTTTTACAAAGTAATCTAACAAAACGATTTGAACAACTTAAACAAAGTAATCCTCCAATGATCTCATGAAAGACCTCTAATTCATTAAATTTAATCGTCATATGTCATAAAATTAATTATAAATGACCAGTCCTACCTCTCTACTTACAAGCAAGTAACAGCAATAATAAGTTTGTCATCTAGCAATGGGGTAGCTGGCTCCTTAATTCTGTTATATATTCCCTGTGATTGAGTTATTATTGGTTAGTCGGTTGTCAGTTAATGTTGCTTGTTTTTTTATATTAAATGATATATGAAGTCGTCAAAGGTTTTTTATGTCTTATTCTCTATTACTCACGTCGTTCCGTTCCTTTGAAATTGCCATAGGAGAATTGTTTATTTTTATGCATAAATTATTGGATTTTTTTACAATTATCACCTATAATTGTTGCTGTTTTAGAAATTTCACCTATATTTTTCTTTTATTGAAATTTATCACCTACATTTTTCCAAAACACTAAAATTTCCCACCACTTTGACCAATCCCTTAAAGATGATGTCATCCATGCTATTTTCCTCCGTTTTCTTTCTTTTTCACTTGATTCTCACTTCCCTCTTCTTCCACTTTTATCTAAATTGAGGCATAGCTTGAATTTGAATTGCTAGAAACTTTAATTTTTGAAGATTTGAAACAAGAACAATGAATTGTGAAACCCTAAATTTTTATTTTAGCAACTTGATTTTAGTATTTGTGCAAAATTAAAAAGGAGATGAAGTAGAAAGACAGAGTATCGAAAGAGGAAGAAAGGAAAATGAGGGGAAGACCGTTTGTGGGCCCCACCATGATGTCATCTTTCAAAATCGTGGGAAGTTTTATCATTTTCATAAAATGTAGGTGGTATATTTCAATAAAAAAAAAAATTGTAGGTGATAATTACTAAAACAGCAACAATGGTAGGTGCTAATTGTCAAAAAAATCTTAAATTACTACTGCTAGGAAGCATCATACAAATATTAATGTAAAATCGAGTAGTTTCCACTAAAGTAGTTTAGATCCTATGATTAATCCCTTCGTATTCTAGTTGGAAGTTGACTATATTCTGAGAGAAATGAAATTGAACTCGTATTCTTAAGAGTAGAAAATTGAACACGTAATTAAAACCTCTGCTCTATTCTCCTTAATTTTATCTTTGCATAGTCATCTTCAATTTAATACAGTAAGATTTAGCTGATAATAAGGAGGATATATTATTATAGGTAAGTTGATACAGAATAAGCTTCTCTATGCAAGTTAAGTTTATAAAGTTAATTATTATTATCATTATACAAATGAATACTAAACTATTAATCCATACAAAGTCGGATCTTCATTAGTATAATCTCCTTTCAATAATCACAGTTTTTTTTAACCACTTTTGTATTAAAAAACCAACCAGTTGAATAATACATCAAGAATCTTTGATATAACAAAGTAAACTAACAAGCCTAGTTATAAGCGCATGATCATATATATTATTAAAGTAAGACAGCTAACAATTTATACAACTTGATGAGAAAATTGATTACATGACCTAAATAATTCAACCTCAAATCCTGCAAAATCTGTTTGAAGTCAAACTTGCTCTCCTATAACTTGGGCTAAGTCAACTATAAGGTCTCAATCTAGAAAAATATCCCAATAATAAACATTTTACATAGAGAAAATTTGACCATTCACACTTTAAAACAACGTTCCTATATATGGTCATAATCTTATCTACTTGCACATTAATTGATGATACTATACTACTATATGTGTAATATTATTTCTACATACATTTTCACTCTTACACTATAGTAAGCTCAACTTCCCTGTCAAAAAAAAAAAAAAAGCTCAACTTCAACTCTCCCTCCCTAAAAAAACTAAATAGTTATTAGCGGCGATGGTGGTTGATGGTGGCGGAGGTGGTGGTGGTGGACTTAGTTTCGTAGTACGGGTCATAATGGGACGGTGGTTCATGGTGTTCTCCACCATCCTAGTGATGTCTGCGGCAGGAGCCACCTACATGTTTGGGTTGTACTCTAAGGACATAAAATCGTCCCTAGGGTATGATCAAACTACCCTTAACCTCCTTAGCTTTTTTAAGGATTTAGGGTCTACGGTAGGGATACCTGCGGGTCTACTAATGGAGATTGCGCCGCCTTGGGTGGTCTTAGCCGTGGGTTCTGTCCTTAACTTCTTTGGCTACTTCATGATTTGGCTCGCGGTTTCTGGTCGTATAGCCAAGCCTTCTGTTTGGCAAATGTGCTTGTATATTTGCATAGGTATGTGATGTATACTTTCTCTTGTTTATGCCTCATATATTCAAACCGCCTCTTAATCTTAAACCTTTATTTTTCAGTTTATAGTTAGAAAATCATAATGTTTGCTCTCAAAAGTTTAGGTTTATCATTTAATAGTATGTGTGTGCATAGTTAGTTTTCTTATTCTAGCTTATATTGCATCTCAAGAATTTATGTGGAGCTGATCAAATCCATTTGCTTTCAATGCGACCATCGTGTTTTGAAAAATTGGAGTGACATACAAATTAAATTATACTATTGTTGGTGGGTAAGTTACATTAGTTGAGTCGGTGACTTAATTATATTAGGCAAGGTGTGACTATTATTGGCCATTCAACAATTTCATCTGATCTAGTATACTCCCTCTGTGTTTTAATAAGTGTTACACTTTGACCGATATATAGTTTTAGGTAATTTAATTGATTTAAATAAAATACTACGTAAAAGATAAGTAGCGTAGTTGGAGTATTAAAAATTTGTAAAAGAAAGATAGTGGGGTTAATAGTTAATTGAAAGTAATGCATGTGAGACGAAAGAAATAAATAAAAAAAAAAAAAAAAAAAAAAAAAGTAATAGTAGTGGGTTTGTGTGGGAATCATGAGAGAAAAAGATAAAATATTAAAATGTAACTTTTTGTCAAAAAAAGAAAGTGTAACACTTATTAAAATACGGTCAGATTTGATAAGTGTAACACTTATTAAAATACGGAGGGAGTATATACCAATATTATGTGTAACTCTGTATATTTTTCTTAGCATATACCCTGTCTAATTATTACTCATATATATTTTTATATCCTTGCACTTACATCATGTATATCTTTTGAAAATTCTTAGTAAAGTAGTAAGTAGTCTACAACTCCACACTATATTTAATGGCAAATGTCATACATACTCTTCCTTGACGGACGGTAATAAGGACTATAGGCCCGTCAATAATATATTGGACATGCAGTTATTACAATTTAATAAGGTTTGTCGTCACATCTACATCTCTTAGTTAAGACAAGATGATGCATAAAAGTTTTTAAAATTATTTTAATAGAATTCTAATTTTTTATCGCGTTAGATTCAAACATAATTATGAATCTTCACCAAGATCTAAACTAGTTTAGATTTATCTATGTCAAGAATAAAATAAATGAACATTGAGCGTGCCCTATATTAATTAACCTCTTTCGTGACAATAGCCTAGACACTCTATATATATATATATATATATATATATATATATATATATATAAAGAAACATCTAACAAGTCTAATCTATAACTCTCAAACAGTTACAACCTATACGTACGGAGTATTAATTACACTTATCTTAAACCTTACAAGAATAATTATTTGTATCTTTCAATAGCAATATCTTTGACATAATGAGCCAATTGCCCAGGGAGCATATCATGTAGTCTAGCCACCAACTATCTACCTTGAACAACATTAATAACCAATAAATTACGTATCAATCTTCAATTAATAATTAGTCTGGTTTGTTTGACTTTGTAATTAGAGAAGTAGCTACTTGATCTAATTCACGTGTACTGGCGAGCTAGCTAGTTACAGCCTACATATGCTACAGTACAGAGAAACTCTTTATAGTATAACAAGTACAAGACTAGAAGTTGCGGCAATTTTTTGTCATTTTGCGTAAATGTAGCTGGAGATATTCTTATAAAGTTATACAAGTAATTGTAATGATTAGAATAAATCCAATATTCCGAATCTTCAATATGCTTTTTGTTTCTTGTTCGAAGTATTTTTATGATAAATATTACCAACTTTAATTAATGTTTGTATTTTTTTTTTCTTTTTTTTATTATTTTTTTATTTTTATGATATATATTGCCAATTTATAAAGGCTTTGTTTAATCCTTTGCTAGCTTATGTTCTATTACTATTACTCAATTTTCATTTACATTCGTTCATTTTTATTCTATTTACATTATTTTATTCTATCTTTAATGTACTTCTTTTATCATGTTACTCATTTAAGCTCACTATAATTACGTCTTTTCACGCTTTATTCTCTTATTGTATTAACTTTTTTTCTCACAAATAACACACATTTTTATATCATCTCTATCTTTTACTTTATTCTACTTTATTTTACCCTCAATATAACATTCTTCAATGTTTCATTAGATTACGTATTTACAGTAACCGAGTAGAAAATGTATAACAAGACAAGTTTAACAAGATTTGACCTAACTATATTTTTCCTTATGTATAATCCCAATATTGGTCAAACAAGGTATAAATAACTAGTGTAAAAGTATATATATATATACGCGTTTTCAAGATTGAAAATGAAAGATGAATAATTAATAAGTCGTACATTTTGTGTTGTGATATGTAGGTGGAAACTCTCAATCATTTGCAAACACCGGTGCACTTGTTACTTGCGTAAAGAACTTCCCAGAAAGCCGAGGAGTGGTCTTAGGCTTGCTAAAGGGTTTTGTTGGTCTAAGTGGTGCCATCATAACGCAACTCTACAATGCATTGTACGGTGGTCGAAACTCCAGAGCCCTAATTCTCCTCATCGGTTGGCTACCAGCCGCGATTTCACTAGTATTCCTACGCACCATCCGGTTTATGAAAGTTGTTAGACAAAAAAATGAGGTGAAATTGTTCTATGAGATTCTCTACATCTCCCTTGGGCTGGCCGGTTTTCTCATGATCATGATCATACTTCAAAAGCAGTTAAACTTCAAAAGAAGCGAGTTTGCAGCAAGTGGTGTGGCGGTTGTCATATTGCTCCTTTTACCTATTTACACTGTGGTCAAAGAGGAGTTTAGGCAATGGAAGAAGAAGCAAGAATTGTTACAAAATGCTCCCAAGGTAGATGTTGTCGTAAACAGTGGTGAGGATAAGGAAGACAAGGTTAAAGAAGTTCCTAATAGGTCCGATGAGGCAGTTGCAACATCAAGAGAGGCGGATTCCTGTTTTCAGAATGTGTTCCGTCCTCCAGACCGTGGAGAAGATTACACTATACTACAAGCGCTCTTTAGTATAGACATGCTCATTCTATTTCTTGCTACCATATGTGGAGTTGGTGGTACATTGACCGCGATTGACAATTTAGGTCAAATCGGGACATCTCTTGGTTATCCTGCTAAAAGCATTAGCACCTTTGTGTCCCTGGTGAGCATATGGAACTATTTGGGTCGTGTCGTGTCAGGCTTCTATTCAGAGCACTTGTTAAAGAAGTACAAGATTCCGAGGCCACTTTTTCTCACTTGCATGCTCCTACTCTCTTGTGTTGGCCACCTTCTAATTGCATTCAACGTCCGTAATGGGCTTTACGTTGCGTCTGTGATTATTGGGTTTACCTTTGGGGCCCAATGGCCTTTACTCTTCGGTATAATATCGGAGTTATTTGGGCTCAAATATTATTCAACTTTGTACAACTTTGGGTCAGTTGCAAGCCCAATAGGAGGCTACATTCTCAATGTGAGGATAACGGGCCATTTATATGATAAGGAAGCCAGAAAGCAAATGAATTCTTTGGGCCGCCCCAGGTTAAAAGGGGAAGAGCTAAATTGTGTTGGGCAAGAATGTTTCCGTTTAGCATTTCTTATAATCACCGCAGCAACTGTTTTTGGTATGTTTGTTTCATTGATTTTGGTGGTTAGAACAAGAAAGTTTTATAGGAGTGATATTTATAAAAAGTTTAGGGAGGCGGCCGTAGTAGAGGAGGATGAGTTGGTAAATGGCGGTGTTGTGGTGGCAACAAACGGAGCGAAAAAGGTGGAGACGGCGAAGGTAGGAAGTTAAATGTGTTTAGGTTGGGGGATTATAAGAAATGATATGGATAATGTAGTGTAATGGTCATATATTAAGTACATTTTTAATGCAGGAAATGCATGGTAGACTGGTCTGACCAAGAAGAAGAATGAAAGAAATGTGTTGAATTACATACACATATAGTGAGTTTTTAAGAAATGACTATTGTAACGACAGTGAGTGAAAATATAGATGAAATTAATACACGATTTGTTACTATGTAAAGAAAAAAATGATGTATTAAGGTAACACTGTGTGACACGTTAATCTTCATTTTGAAGCGATTGTGTGCTCTATTTTTGCTTCTTCTCTTTTACAATCTAATGTTGGGTACAATGCTAATTGGTTTGTGATAGCGCCTATGAATATATATTACGGAATATCAAGGATTAGTAGTAGTACGTGTTGCATAAGAGACATGTTCCACCGAATTGGCAAATTTGGATCTATGGTGTTTGTAATCCATGATATGAGCATAGCATTAATAGCCGTCCAATCTGACTTGGTACAGGGTGGAGACGGTGAGATGATTGTACCGTCAAGAAACTCGAATTTTCTTCGGGCCTCTAGAGCAGTTTGAATATCAGCAGACCAAGAATCATAATTGTCTGTTGTAAGGCGAGTCGGAGTGATAAAATCCCCGGGTCGATCCTGTGAACCGAGATAATATGGTGAGTTTGGTTCAATTTTTGAAGGAGGTGGAGGCGGTGGTTGTTCGTCTCCTGCCATGAGGTTTGAATATGACGATTGTCAATGTTCTGTTTTCTGTGATTTTTGTGTATTGATTTTGTTTTTTTTTTTTTTTTTTTTTGGTTAAAGAAAAAACTGGCTCGATACCATGTTAAACTGGAGTTTTGGGAGAATATTGAGTTGCCTTTCATTGATTATTATCAAGGTTTATATAATACAATCAAGGGAGACCTAACCAAAGATAGATTAGGAAATTAGGAAAAGATAAATACTAAAGATTATATCTACCATAATTATATCTAAATATATCCTATTAAAATTTCATCTATTTGTTGTAATCATTTTAATGTAACATATCAAAAATACCACTTTGTTAAATTATGCAAGAATAAGAGCAAAAAAAAAAAAAAAAAAAAAAAAAAAAAAAAAACATACTTTCAGTCTTTCCATTCTGCTTCAAAGGATCACAAAAGGTACAATTTAGAGTAATTGACTAATTGTGAGTCAGAAGTCAAACTTTATATGCGCATGAATCAACTCCACCGCTTTGAAGACTTAGAACATTTAATAATTTGAATGTAGCTTTCAAAAAAAAAAAAAAAAAAAAAAAAAAAAAAAAAATTGAATGTATCTGGGCACTATTATATACTAGTATATTGATTCAAACCAAATAATATTGCACAGGATAGAAGAAATTGACCATAGTTATTGATAGAGTATGTATATATCAGTTTTAGGCTTTTATCATTTGTATAAATTTTTGTTTAAATTGGTACTCTAACATGATATCAAAATCAGCGTAACAAAAAGATTATGGATTTAAATCTCATCTCTACAGTCTATACCTCTCCTTTAAACAAGTGGATGGAATTTACTTGATGTTTGAGATTTTTAGATGGTTTTTGAAATAGAAATAGTACCAAATTCTTATCAATAAATGCATGGAAGAAATAGAGAAGATGCAGCATGTCATGACCGCAATTTCGGCAAGTTTAGCTAATCAGCCGGTCAATATATTCGTCATTTATGTACATTCATGTGTGTGGCCATGTGGGCAAGTCCGCAAGTAGATATAGAAAAGTACTCCTTTTGTTTTATTTTTTCATAAAAAAAAAATTAAAAAAATTAATGAAATGGGGGTAAGAAAAAGAAAATCAAACAAGAGTTAAAAAAAAAAAAAGGGTGTAAGTAGAAAAATCAAACAAGAGAAATGATGCTAAAATTAAATATTTGTAAGAGTAAGATAAATAAATAATAAATTAAGAGTGAATCTGTGAATGAAAATAAAGGTAGAATATTATATGGTATAGTGAAAGTGATTAAAACCTTAAATTGAAAAGTGGGCATATGTAGAGAAAGTATATATATATATTTATTAAAACTTGTTTAAATGAATATGTTACGTATAATTAATTAAAATTAAACAAGTTGTAATACAAGTAGCAATTTTGTGTAATATAATTAGGTACTCCCGGGCACGGCATGTAATGGACTAAACACAATGAAAGGATAGGTGAAGTGATTTGTGACAAGATCATGGTCATTATTTGACCTGGCCTGCCTTAAACATCATCTACTACTACTTAGTGAAAATAAGTCTAGTGAGTAGTGACAAGAACATAAAAATCGGGTGAAAGTTTCATTGTTGCTCATGTGTATACCTCGTTTGAATCTTATCTTGTGGAGATAAGCACTCTTTAAGGCCATTCTATAGTCTCTATCCTTGAATTCTTCAAGCACTTTTTTAAGGATGCATGTAAAATATATCCGGATATTTTGATTTTAATTATTCCCTCTGTGTTTTGTAAGTGCTCCACTTTTTAAATATGGCTATTTTTTTAAGTGCACCATTATCAAAAGTGAAAAATCCCACTCATATTATATTTTTTATATCTCTCTTCTTTTTAACTCCACTATCCTTTTACAATATTTCCTCTCTCTCACATTATTTCTAGTGGTCCTCATTCATATTTTTCTCTCCTACTTTTTCAAATTTTTTATCTCTAACCATACCTACTCATATACTCCATATTATTTTATTTTGCCTAAAATTATGTGCCCAAAGGTATGAGAATTGAGAGCCAATGAGCACTTAAAAAAATGGGAGGCCGGATGGAGTATTGGTTTGTGGCACAATGGTCACTATGCATATGAAAATTTAGACAGGCCAAAACACTGAACATAAATATTAAATGGAAATAAATAATAGTTAAAATGGTTAGAATGATAAAACCCAAATGCAAAAAAAAAGAATGTAGTTTAGACAAAAATAACATAATTTCACGTCCAAACTAAACCCAAAGGATATGTAATTCAAATTCAAATAAATATTCTTCTTTAATTCAAAAACTAAAGAACATGAGTTGTATTGAGAAGAATATAATATAAATAAAAAGGCATATACTTCATATATAGCTCAAAATCAAATGAAATATCATATCGAAGCAAACTATTACGAAGTACAAACTACCTTAAGTTTATATAGTAGTCCATAAGCTACCTTAAATCTAAATTATCATACTTATTGGTCTACTCCTTTTCCTTCTAATTGATTTCTTTAAATTTTGGTATAGACGATATTCGACTCAAATAGTCATATCTAGTTTACCTTCCATATACCTTAACCAATAGGATTAATCTAACAATTGATCATAGTAATTAACATCAAAATAATATCATGCAAACCCGTTAATTACACCAAAGTTTTTATTCCTTTACGAGCTCAACATGTTACAACACTAAGGTCCCTCACTTTGTTCATCCCAACAGCTAAATGGCTAAATCATTACTGTATGATTCTGACTAATCAAACTTTTAACGTATAAATTGGTCCACTATATCGATCAGAAGATCACTATCATCATTTATGTTTCTCATATCAACATGTTCGTTGTTAGTCCTTGTTACCACTAGTATTCTCTACTACCTATAAACCTACCTTTCCACACATATTTTCACATCATTTTTGTTAAACTCAACTATATCTCCCTCTCAAGTCTCAAACATATAATCCCATAATCTTAGGATAGACACCTAATCATGGTGGTCGAAGGCGGTGGTGGCCACCCCCGCTTGGTGATGCGTGTCTTAACGGGGCAATGGTTCATGGTGTTTTCCTCCCTCCTAGTGATGTCTACGGCAGGGGCCACGTACATGTTTGGGTTGTACTCTAAGGACATAAAACAATCCTTAGGGTATGACCAAAGTACCCTTAACCTCCTTAGCTTCTTTAAGGACTTGGGATCTATTGCCGGGGTGCCCTCAGGGCTACTAATGGAAGTCGCCCCACCTTGGGTGGTTCTAATCGTTGGTGCTGTCCTCAACTTCTTTGGTTACTTCATGATGTGGCTCGCCGTTACTAGTCGTATCCCTAAGCCTGCTATTTGGCAAATGTGCTTGTACATTTGTGTAGGTACGTGTTTATTATAATTTAGTATAATCCTATTTATAGTAAGCTCACATTCAAAAATTATGTGATCCATATGTGTTTTCAAGTATATATATGGCTCTTAGCATTATCAGACATACCTTATCTTTATGTATGCATTCTTATCTTCGATTGAATCTTTGAAAATTACGTGTTTAATGATTATAAGATATATGGTATATGCTCTATATCTTTAAAACAAATTTAGCCTCACTCATATAAATTGACTTTATCTCTTTGTCTTAACTCGCAATTCTGAGGTCTTGGATGATGCTATAACTGTTTACATCTTAACAAGTGACAACAAGAGAGTTGTTTTGGTCCCATGAGTTAGGCTAGTGAACTGTGGACACCTCCATTCACGATCTTTTAAACAAACAATGTAGGACCAAAATACAACGTGATTTGTCTATCACTAATTTATAAACCAATTAACTTTCGAAGAGTATAGTGTCAACTTAAAACACATCTTTATTTTGTAACATGTACACTTTAAAATAGTTGTCCCAGATGTTTTTTGGAATTTAATCACAAATCATGTACATGTAAATCTATCTTTGTAATTAAGCTAAGTAATAATAAAACCATGCATGACAATTTTTACATCTACATGTTAAGCTAGAATTAAAAAATAATTACCTTCAAACTTGTCACCTACTTTATCTTGTTTCTATCAAGTAAGTTTTGTACAAGAGACATGAAAATTCTGATTTGACATAGCTATATACTTCGTATATAACATGTGGAACTGGGATCTAGTGATATTACATGGAGATGTTAATTCGGGTCACTAGATCGAGTTTGACTGGGTCTAATTGAGTTGGGTCTAGTTCGGGTTTGAGTCGTGAAAAATCATTGTGCACATCTAGAGATCAAATCCCGAATTGGATCACCGACCTTCGGGTTAAGTCGGGCTGGGTTAGTTTTTGACATTTCACCATTATGTAAAACGAACAAAGGATAAGAATTTCATGAAGCTAGAATTATAAGGTGAATCTGTTTCACCGTAATAAGCCCACACAATTCAACACATAAACTTCCAAAAACTAGGCCAATAGTTTAAATAAAAATTTCAAAAACTTAAATGATATGGTGTGTCCAAAAATTTATAAATTAATTATAATGTTTAAATCCTTATATGAATTGTCAACTTTCCATAATTTTATGAATCAAAAGTTCCAAACCCAATTATTCTTTGGTTGAAAACGATGTGATCAACAAACAAGTCAATACGATATAAGATTTTTCCTTAGTCCTTTGCCAAGTCTAATAGAATAATCTCACTAATCTAACACTAATAATAATGTCATGCTTATACTTGTATATGTAGGTGCAAACTCGCAAGCCTTTTCAAATACTGGTGCACTTGTTACTTGTGTGAAGAACTTCCCCGAAAGCCGAGGAGTTGTCTTAGGCTTGCTAAAGGGCTTTGTTGGTCTAAGTGGTGCTATCATAACGCAACTCTACTATGCATTGTACGGTGATAATGGTAAAAATTCCACGGCCTTAATCCTCTTCATTGGTTGGCTACCTGCCGCGATTTCATTTGCATTCCTACGTACAATCCGATATTTGAAACTTGTACGTCGAAAAAATGAGGTAAATGTTTTCTACGAGTTGCTTTATATGTCCCTTGGCCTCGCCGGTTTTCTCATGGTTATGATCATACTTCAAAACACCAAAACCTTCACACGAGGTGAGTACATTGGGAGTGGTATAGCAGTTATTCTTTTGCTCCTTTTACCTCTTTACACCGTGATTAAAGAAGAGTACAAGGTACAAAAGACGAGTGGAGAGGAGTTGGTGAGTGTATCCAATGTTAATATTGTGGTAAACAATGGTGAAGATAAGGAGCGTGAAGTTATGGGTGTTTCAAACTCGGCGCCTCATTCATCTGTGGTAGAGTTGCCTGAGAAAGAAAGAGAGGCAGACTCATGTTTTCAAAACATATTTCGTTCTCCAGATCGAGGGGAAGATTACACCATACTACAAGCGATTTTCAACATAGACATGCTCATTTTGGTTATTACTATTATAAGTGGACTTGGTGGCACATTGACCGCCATTGACAACTTGGGCCAAATCGGAATGTCACTTGGGTACCCGGCCCGTAGCATTAGCACTTTTATATCCCTAGTGAGTATATGGAACTATTTAGGTCGCGTCGTGGCAGGTTTTGGTTCGGAACACTTGCTAAAGAAGTACAAAATTCCAAGGCCTCTTGTGTTGAGTTTTACACTATTGCTCTCTTGTGTTGGACACCTTATCATTGCTTTCGATGTTCGAAATGGGCTTTATGTTGCGACCGTGGTTATGGGATTTTGCTATGGGGCCCAATGGCCTTTGCTATTTGCCATTATCTCTGAATTGTATGGGCTTAAATACTACGCAACTTTATACAATTTGGGTACAGTGGCAAGCCCAATAGGAGGTTACATTCTCAATGTTAGACTAACTGGCTACTTATATGATAGAGAGGCCCAAAAACAAATACAGGCCTTGGGCCGGATCAGGAAAAAGGGTGAAGAGTTAAACTGTAATGGCCCAGAATGTTTTCGCTTGGCATTTTTTGTGATCACAGCAGCAACTATTTTTAGTATGTTGTTTTCATTGATCTTGGTTGTTAGAACAAGAAAGTTTTACAAGAGTGATATTTATAGAAAGTTTAGGGAGACAGATAGTACGGCGGAGGCTGAATTGGTAGGTGGTGTCGTAGTATCGGATGATGGAAGTAAGAAGCCGGGAATGAAGGTGGCAAAAGGGTAGGAAATTTCATTGTTTATTGGTAAGAAGGATCTACTAGGTTGTAACCCTGCACAGATCAATATGATCCATACTAGATGCAAGGATCCTTAGAAATGGGGCAGACGATAAGGAATTCCTATCATTTTAGGTGTACCATGAATATAGTGTGCTCACGTGTATTATTAACTCGGTTGAGAGGTGTTAACAAAAAAACTATTGTAACTACTAATGTATTGTATACTAGTAGTAGACGTATAAAAATAAATTGAAACATGTTTTAGGATTGATGTCATGCATATGTAGTGCTAATGGTGTAGCCCGTGTAATCGTGTATGCATAGTTAGATCACTTTGATCATCAGGTGCATCGGACTCCCAGTAATTCTTATAGTAGTGTACTACTTCTTATAGTATGTACGTAGAGGAACTCCTAATAATCGATATATGTTAACATAATAATTAGGAATTTTGTATAATATCTTTAGATTTCCTAGTTATGTTAATATTCTATCTTATTCCTAAATATGTTACGGTTAGGAATATCCTTGTAACTACATATCTTGTTCACATATGAATGAGAAAGTCAAGCCGTTCACATTAATTTGACAATATATCATATTGCTTAGCAAACATATAACATGACATTATAGTAATTAAATTATCTACAGACTATACTGGGTTGTTTTTACTCGTGTTGTACTCTTAGTAGAGTACTATTAATATTATGCACTTTTGCTTGGCAAGGTTGCATTTCTTATAATTCGTATATGTAATAATTTTTATACTTTTTTTAACCCTCTTTTAATGTACTCGCTTTCATTTTTGTACGTGTTACTCAAAGCAGGTAAAGAAAACTCATGAAATCTCCCCTCCTATCCAAACTTTCGGGCATTACAATAAGACGTTTCAAGCGTGCATCTTTTTCACATTGCATATGGCTCTACAATAGAATTTACTTTTTTTATTTTCTGTTGAAAAAGGAGAAAATATAGATATTTTAACTTTTTCTTTGGTTAAATATTGCATTTTAACCAATATTTGTAATTCATAAACAAAGTCAGGTATTACTTCATTGTGGTTCGCGTTAACATGATTATTAAAGCAAAAGCACAAGATAAAACATCAATTATCATCTTTCTTCTGATCCATGCATTAAATATTTCTACATACACGACTTGTTTTGAGTGATCTTTCTATGATTATGTTAAAGACGACATCTTCTTGTTTTCCTTTTCCCTTTTCCTTTTTTCTTTTTCCTTTTATATTTGTTGTAGTCTCCATTTTCTTACAAAAATTATTGTTCTATTTTTCAATTTGTTTATAAAGTCTTCAGAATTTCTCTTAATTTTATTTTTCTCTAACATATATACAAAAGGATAATATCTTGCTTAACAATAACTTTCGCTCCCTCCTCGTATTATTTTATTTATTTGATCCGAAAAACTCTCACATGTCACAAATAATGGTGGAGAGTAACAAACAATAAAGTACTACTATTTATAAAAATAAAACAATCTTTAAGAAATAAACAGTTGTCTGTAACTCTATAAGAATGACAAAGCTTCCTTGCGAATAGCAAATTAGCATTGTAATTATTTTCTCAATTATTTATTTTGATAGTATGATCATATATTCATATATGATGTGCGCACTGACGCATTATGATATAGTGATGATAATCAACGATGAAAGTTTCTTATTTGTTCCCCATTAAACATATAAACGGGCAAAAAGGAGATTGGATACATAGCTGACTTAGTCACATAGATCTTCCCTAGCTTGTAGGATATAAAATCCCTACCTTTTAAAAAGTATGTCAGTATGTGTTATCTTTTATGAATAGTGCTTGTAAGTTATACCCTCGTTTTAAAATATTTATTTACCTAATTGTCTCCATTAATATTAAGTAGCTCTTTTCTAAACTCTTAAAAATACTGTACAGACATTTATACAACTGTAAAGATTTGTTTACATATTTTCCCTCATTAATGCTACTAACAACTAAAGCAGTGAATCTGTGATGTAAAGCCAAACCATAAGAGCTTCCCGAATATGACTAACTATGGCGCGCATCGCGCGCGTTAACTACCCTAGTAAATGCAAAATGCTCATCGATAAATAACTTAATAAACAAGTGTGGATATCTATACACGAATATACATATATTGATCCCAGGTGTAGTACGAATGAGAAAAGAGGAAATCATATGTTTATGCTTTTTATTAGTAGTATGACTTTAGTTATTCCTTGTAATAGTAGGATGTATAGTTTTGATTGGAGTTCGTTACTTTGTTTCAATTCATATTTTATTATTAGATATATACTTGATTCGAGTTCAATTTATTTCGAGTTAAATGGCTTTATATTAAGTTTCTCTTCAATTGGGTTATTATTAAGAAAGTTAAAAAAGATTTATGTTCAAGGAAAATAACTTCTTTTGAAATCGAATTGCAATGTCGAACTTTTTTCACTATTTACACTACGTCTTTGACCATGTTTAATTTGTGATGTATACGTCAAAAAAACATGTTTATATAATAATTTGTTATATTCAACTCGTTAATTCATTATATATTTCCATAATAGATGTTAATTATTTTTAAAAAAATTACTAAAATTTAATTTTTAAAATAAATTAATATTGTAAAACATACATTGACAATTATAAAATTAACTGAGAATAGTTTCCGTAATCGTATTCCACAAGACTTCGCGTTAATACCGTAACATCAGTGAATAATATAAGCCTGAGCAAATACAAGAACATAAAAAAAAAAAATTGTTTGTTTGTTTGTTTGGGGGTATTCCCTAATGAAGAAAGCGTCTTTCTCGTTTACTTTCTTTAATTATATATCTGTATTATATTTTGACAAGAATATCTTATTCCAGGGTCTTTCTTTTTTTTTTTTCTTTCCCTTTTTTTAATGTGGGCAAAAGTCAAGCACTTCACGTTAATTTATATAGTGTGTTTTCTATATATGGTCGCATCGTGTGGTCGGGATTACTTATTTAAGAGTTATTCGGTTGGTCAAGGGTTACTTATTTTGGGGTTACTCAATCGGTTAGCGTGTTTTATGTGTTACTCAGCACACCATGTGGCCGGCTGACACACACCAAAATACTTAATAGGTAACCCTGATCAAGTAATTCCTAACCGACCTAGTAACCCCTGAAAAAGTAACCCCAGTCACATAGTGTGACCAGCCACATATGAAAAATTGTGTGATTTATAAGGCTACCCTTGCAAGCTTCCAAATTTCCAACTAATATAAGCTTTGACTTTTTTCCCTTACCAACTAAGTAGAATTTAAGGCTTAACTTGCCTAAAATCCACCGTTGGAGAAATTTTATTTGGCTCAAAAAAATTTCATTAGCCCTTTTTTCGTCTTCAATCATGAGATTTAATAATATCTTGTTTCGAATTCTTTTTTAGAGACTCAAATCTTCATAGTGATACAAGCCTCAGAATTCATTTCGTATTGATTAATAATAAAAAGTTAAAAATTCACAATATATTTTGTGTTATGAAATTAAAGAGAAAGAGAAATTAAAGTAGAGGAGAGAATAGATCTATATAATTTTTACTCAATGATATAGGAGTACATATATATGTGTGTGTGTGTGTGTGTGTGTGATACAATAATTAGGGTTTCCTTGTAGAGTAATAAATATATAATATATCTAGAATATCCTAGAATTATCATAAGGCTATAATAGACATCTACTAAATACATATATTATATAACACTCCCCCTTGGATGACCATTATCGAATAGTGTGCCTCGTTAAAATCTTACTAGGAAAAACCCGATGGGATAAAAACCTAGTGAAGGAAAAAGAGTACAACACTTTAATAATACGCCTTGACATGTTGCCTCGTTAAAAACCTTACCAGGAAAACCCAATGTGGGACAAAACCATGGTTAAGGGAAAAAGAGTGCAGCGCGTATTTTCTCCCCTTGATGAATGCATAACTTGAGATCTTCCAATGTAATGATCCAATGCCTTAGTAACTTCACACTTAGCTTGTAGCTGAATATATAACATTCCTTGATAGTTGATCCTCCCTAATCAAACTTGAATCTTCACTATAATGCATCTTCATTAATCCATACTTGTGAGAACAATACTACCTATGTTGCATTTACTACTATCTTATATGACATTTTTGTTTCAAGTTGCCTTACCATCAAAATTATGCCTACTTTTGGAGGTCATAAAAGTAGTTATTGATGATCAAATATTGATAATAATTTATGGCAACCCGTGATATCTTGATATCATTATCTAAGCTTATATGAATTAGTAATAATATAACATAAGTATTATTATATACTTTACTCATGGTTCTTCTGGACCATAAGAAGATGATTCTTACTATAATATATCTCATTACTATTCTTCTTTAGACATTTTGCATTTTATACGAGAGTTCTCCAATGTGTACCAAACCGATTAACTCTCACTTGGTTAAACTTTAGGTTGATATCTCAATAACTTAGTCACCAATACTCTCCATGAGTTTGATAACAATATCAACATTGTCATTTTTTCAAACTATAGAATTTGAAGGGCTAGATATTTGAATACGTTGTATATAAGTTCTGCGGGAACTTTTCATGCATGATTCATAACATGCTATTGGATCGTCATCATATAAACTTTCTTCCCAATTATAAGCCCATCGGAGTATAAATTTCTTCTTGTAAGCCTTCATCATAATTATAAACTCGTCATATCATAAGCATTCACATATAACACAAATGATGTATAGAACTAATGCATGCAATATGAGATGTAGAATTCATGGTAAAATATTAAACAAAATATATATATATATATATGTAATGAGTAATGCATCAAACTACATCCTATACATACAACGAGTAATTCATAAATTTAAAACTCAAACATGCACATAAAAAAAAGACTCAAAAATGCAAACACTGTATAGTGTGGATTTCAGAAATCCATTTCCTAATTGGACTACTAGTCCATGATAAATTTTTGATCATTAGCATCCATATTTCATTGGAATTCTTGTCCATGATAAGCTTTTGATTTATTATCTTAGTTTCATGTCGACATTCAAATGGACATATATTTCTGATCCCTTATGCACAAGTCCATTCCTTCTGCATATGCATATTATATATCGGTTCCATCATATACTGGTATCATATAATTCCTCAAGATACAATTTTTAATTTTCATGCTATTTTGACAATGATATCTAAATACGTTTCTCATTGGTACCATCATAACATTTCTTACATCATAGGCCATCTATTGTAATAATTAAGATATATGTACCACTTTTGAAGTATTTCATACACTATGGTATTTATATACTATCACAATATTAAAAGTGTTAACTGCACCATCTTGCCACATATCATATCTTTATTTTGGAACCGGTCATACAACCCACACTTCAGGTGTAGTGATTCAAGTATAATTGGCAAGATTTTATCTCAATGTATACACATAATATGACCAAAATGTATCTTAAACACTATGCAACATGAGTCATAACTGAATACAAATCAAATCATAAATGTGCAACATATCTTGATATATATAGACAAAAGTTGGCATATAACTTTTCAAACTACCGTTATAGGGATCATCAAAATCTTTTCGATTTTCCAATTTTTGCTGATTGTTCTCACCCTAAGTTGGTAAAATATCTCATTTATAGGGGCGTCTAATTCTATACCAACTTAGTATATAAATTTGCAATAAAATTCATTTCATGCGAGGATCACAATCAAAATTTATCTCTTAGAAGATTTGTATTAAACAACATTTATCTCTTCTGGAGAAGCATTTCAATGAAGAATCATTTCTTCATTAACTTTACATTGCATGTGTATTTATTATTACAATTTCCATAATATGTTCTCTTCTAGAGATTAATGTCAATGGGGAGACATGTGTTGTGCAGTTGTACGTTTTTCCTTCTTCTCCTCTTTCTGATGTGCTGACATATAATAGCCCCAATCAAAAAAATTGGTATACAAGCGTAAATCACTTGCTTGTAATTCTACTAGGTGGTGATCTTCTGGATCTTTGAAGACTTAAATAGTGTATTTGGTGAGCTTCTGGTCACCTAATACTTGACAATAATATATAAGTTATTTTGGTGAACTTTTGGTCACATATTACTCTTTCGTATATATAAAAATCAAAACCTATTAACTCTTGAAATTTTCGTCAACACAAATTATTATAGCTCCAATCTCAATGTTATGTCTTGCCATTTAATTCATTTCATATATCTAACATTGAGAGAGTGTCAGCACATTATCATATGAAACTTCAGGTTTCCATAACGGGTATTTATTAAATCCCGGATGGCCTAATTTTTTTTAATTATCACATCCACTTTTTCCTTTAATATTTAAATTATGGTCAGTTTTATAATAATGGTGATCACCTTATTAGAGATACTTTATGCATGGCCATGAGTATGATGTGATATAAGTACACCAATGTGTTTCTTTTTACAATTGGCAAGACAATTAATTAATACTCATACTCCACTCGAGGATTGATTGTAATCTTGATACATACTAATCTTGTTGGACAACATTTTATACTCTTCTAGAGTATTTTATATAGTCATAACACATTTTATACTAGAAATGATCTTTTCAGGAGATCAATCAAAATGTGTCACTTTCTCAAATTTGTCATTGCCAATTATTGCTCCTTTCCTCTTCCAGGGATTCTTACCGTTGTTACCCTTTGGATTACCACACTTCAGGTGTGCTAGTTTCAATAGCAACTGATCTTGTCCTTTTAGGACATCAACTTAATATGTACATTTATAGCTAGTATATAGGTAATGACATTTATTCATATTCATTTTTAGGATGGTATCATTCCAAATATGTGATTATCATGTGGTCACCTCTATTAAATAAATCATTGATATTAGGTTAGTGTATGTACCAAACTGACCATCAACATATTTAATTATTCATGTGCAAGGATTACATAAAAACCATGAAATAAACACTATCTCCCCCTAATCCTTGCATATGGAGGTATAAAAATAGTCCAACAATCTTTAAATCCCTTGCTTCTTTTAAGCCATAAATTCTTGTAGCAATGCATGTATCAAACAAAGCAAAGTTATTCTTTTCCTCTTGCCCAATTACATGAATCTTTATATTGAAAATTCTCAAAATATGAGCATAGTGAATACATTATTCAACTAATTAATTAATCTTTTTCACATTGTCATGCTTAGATTAATTTTATTTCAAATGAATATTGTGTACTCATGTTTGTAATTATTATGAACTTTACATAAATGATAATCATCATGCAACACATGTACCTCTTAATCATAAGGCTCATTCAATTATTGTTCATGAACTTTTCTGGAAATGAGTAAATTATTTATCAACATTCATATATATATAGATCAAGTTCAATATCTTAAATTTGCACCCAAAAGACAATATTAGAACTGATCAAAAATATTTTGTACGTTTTTCTCTTGACATTGTGTTTATAAAATCACTTTAGTCTTGTGAACGGTGAACATTATCAGATCATGTATATATGACCCTTCATTAGTTTAAAAAGCTTCAGGTCCTTACGTGTGAACACTTCATGTTCAATTCATACATTATTTCAACTTCATGTACATATGCATATAATATATTATATATAATTGAATAAAAAAAACAATTACATCAACCAACATAAACTATTCATATTAAAACTGTGATAGTCAATTATAATGCATGTACATGAACAATATCTAGAACTTATACTCCATATATGGAAAGGAGTTTGCAATTAGTATATTAGTAGTACATTACTTGTTGTCAAATTCATTTTCAAATAAGTGCTAGCTAGCATGAATTGAGGTTGAACGGGCCAATAAAAATATGACATCATGTATATATATATATAATCTCAATCATAAATTTAAAGTACTTTTAAGAGTTTCAAAGAATCACAAGTAGATCATTTCTTCGGTATAGATTAGGCCACGAACATTAATTATATACTCATCATAGTATTGAATGATTTTAACAATACCAAGAAGGCATTTGAAACCTAAAATATACTCGATAACATATACAAAAGCTACTTCAAGCAAAATAGGAAACTAAGATCATATATATATAGTTTAAACAATCTATGCAAGCATTAATAAATATTGACTTCTAATTAATAGATCTGACGAATGTATAGAGTATATGGACTTATAAAATATGACAAAATAAATTAGTATCAACAGATTAACCAAAAGTACAATATATATAGCTTATTAGACGAATGTTAGTGCAAATATAATCCCCTTGCACCCAATTCAATAATCTTAGAACCAACATACAACTATTTACACCAACCATTATCATCATCCACAACAAAAGTAAGCCACTTAGATTTTATTTTTTATTATTGAATTCATGAGAAACAAAAATGATAACATAAAAATCATTGTCTAAAACAATTCGATCAATCAAATTTAACCAAATCAATAACAGGCCCATGAAAAATAATCTGTGAGTAAACCATATCATATCAATCATATAATAATCGATATGCACCTTAGGTATGCCATAGAAGAAAGAAAAAAAAAAAAACATGGTGATTAATTGCGGCAAAGAGACGCTGTGTGAAGTATTACCTAACTAATAAATTATAATCGTTATAATCATTAAATTCTGGAAGAATTTAATTAGTTTGTTATATGATACAATTATGTGTAATATATAGATATACCAATATATAGCCGCATGCATAGTAGACAAGGCATAATAAAAATTAAGAATTCATACATAGGTGTTACAGACTATTATGATGAAAATAGAAACGATCGCAATTAAAAAAAAATAAAGTCTACGTCAACAAAAACTCTAGCAGTAGTACTACTATAAATAATTCATTGGCAATTTACAATGAACAATTACTTTATGCATCAAATGTAATCCATTAAAGCTTATAATATTAAAAATATGATTACATTTTAGATAAATAAATAAAATTAAATGGTGTCCTTGAATTTGAATTGGGGGACTCATATTGAAGTATATATCATCAAGAATAATTGATGCATGACGAAATATATAAACGAATGTGCGGCAATCATGTTTATAATTATATAGCTTCAAAATTCATAATTTAGTAGAAATAGATAGAAATATAGGGTACCTTTTCTAGCAGAGGAATTGTAACTCGGCTATGGTTGCTCAATAGGCTAGGGCTTGGTGATGTTAACGTGTTATGAAATTAAAGAGAAAGTAGAGGAGAGAATAGATCTATATATTTTTCACTCAATGATGTAGGAGTACATATATATCTAGAATATCCTATAATCATCATAAAAATATAATGGACATCCACTAAATACATATATTATATAATACTTTGTGCATTATTAATTCAATTTTTGGATTAAAAAAATTTCCGTTTGAAATTTTTTATTATCTTTAATTTAATTACTACGTATTCTGAACATAATCTATGAATTTTATTATTACATGCATCGTCTTAAACTCTTAACTAAGTTAAATTTATTACGGAGAATCTGGTCTATATCAATGTATACTTACAATCACTATTATGCAATTACGAAAGTTTATTATGTAGAATCTATATCCCCATTATTGAAATATGTGTTACATTTATTTAATTAAGACAGGATTAAGTCGTAAGTCATGAATAAAACATAAAATTATTGTAAATTACATATCATTTTAGTAACCCAAGACATATATACAATTGCATCGTCATAACTAAAATTTATTACGTAATAATAATGACAACAGCGCAAATATCATGTACTAGTGATACCCCCGAATAAAGAAAAGCTTGATAAGTCACATTTGGAATAAGATTCTTAAATCTACTACTTCTAATTTCATTGTAATGATAATCTATCCCTTATAGATTCTCTCTAATTAAACTTGGAACATACAAATTGGTCCATTATATACATCACTATCATCATATATTTAATTTTTCTTTTACATACAAGTTGACACTACTACTATAAACATAACCTTCCACAAACATTTTCAACTCAATAATACATTATTAAACTTAACTCTTTCCCTCTCAACTTCTCAAGTCTGTATCAATAATTATATATCCCAACATCTAAGTCAACCTAGCTAGCCATGGCAATCGAAGGCGGCGGTGGTGGTGGTGGTGGCCAGCTTCGCTTTGTGATGCGTGTCTTAACAGGACGATGGTTCATGGTGTTTTCCTCCCTTCTAGTAATGTCTTCGGCTGGTGCCACCTACATGTTTGGGTTATACTCCAAAGACATAAAACAATCCTTAGGGTATGACCAAAGTACCATCAACCTCCTTAGCTTCTTTAAGGACTTGGGATCCATTGCCGGGGTACCTTCCGGGCTACTACTAGAAGTCGCGCCACCTTGGGTGGTTCTAACCGTAGGCGCGGTCCTTAACTTCTTTGGTTACTTCATGATTTGGCTCGCCGTTACTAGTCGCATCCCCAAACCTAAAATTTGGCAAATGTGCTTGTATATATGCGTAGGTACGTACGTGATAAATTATTTACTATAGTCAAATCATATGATATGTATGCTCTCTTATCTTTTCCATAAAATATTACTTTGTATAGCATCATATTCTAGTCTGCATTCATATCAAACATGTTATCTTTGAAAACTACATGTATGATTAGTAATCATGCATACATGAAGTATGATCTCTATGTTCTTATAAAATTAAAAGTAAAAATTGGCCATTTGATTGGCCTTATCATCATGTGTGTGAGACTAGTTTCACTCAATCAATGAATGACAAGACGTAGTATATTAACCCTTGACATCAATATAACAAGTCTAATTTAAACTCAAAATATGATGTGAAAAAATTATGCCCAAAATAGTACTTTTGTTACCAATATATAATTACAAAAAAAATAGTATACTCTTACACTCAACTATTAACATCTAGTTCTAATTATGAATAAGTAAAAATTACTCCATGTAAAAAAAACTAATATTGTGAATATATACATTAAGACAATTGTAATAATATCTCGCTTGACTATATATGTTTTATCATAACCATAAATCACAAAAAACAATCAAAATAAAGTTTGTAAATACTGTCAAAAGTTAAAAGTGTCAATAAAAATTGAATAGAGAAAGTGATACATCTTTTGAAAATGCATATTAAAATAAATAAGATCAAAGAATCATATAGTATATTTAGAAAATTATGTATTTCTATATCGATATATTCTAACAATTACTTAAAGTGAATTTATCTGAACTGGCTTAATGTTATCTGAACTGACTTAATATTATTTAACTTATCTAATCTTACTTAAACTTATTATACCTTGGTTGGAGTAAACAAAATTTAGTTACCCCTGGTCCTTATCACAACTCAATAGGAACTTATTTTTCTTGAATTAATTTTATCCAAACTTCTTTCATTTCTTGAATTTATCCAGAACTTCTTTCTCGTGAATTTATCTTATCTGAATTTATTACCTCCTGTCTGAACTTATTTTCTTGAAATAAGGTGACTAGAACGAGACATTAATCATTAATGTCGTTATGATTTTACATATATATAGGTGCAAACTCTCAAGCGTTTTCAAATACTGGTGCACTTGTTACAAGCGTAAAGAACTTCCCAGAGAGCCGAGGAATGGTCTTAGGCTTGTTAAAAGGCTTTGTTGGTCTAAGTGGTGCTATCATAACTCAAGTCTACTTTGCATTTTACGGTGGCAATGGTAAACATTCCAAGGACTTAATCCTCCTCATTGGTTGGCTACCAGCCGCCTTATCATTTGCATTCATTCGTACCATTCGATTTATGAAAGTTGTTCGACAAAAAAATGAGGCTAATGTCTTCTATGAATTTCTATACATCTCCCTTGGCCTCGCCGGTTTTCTCATGGCTATGAGCATACTTCAAAAGACCATAACCTTTACGCGTGGTGGTTACATAGGAAGTGGTATAGCAGTGATTATTTTGCTCCTTTTACCTCTTTACACCGTGATTAAAGAAGAGTACAAGCTACGACGAAAGAGGAGTGTAGTAGAGTTGCAAAGTGTCTCCAACAATAATGTTGTGGTTGAGGATGTTGTTGCAAATGCATTGCCTCAAGCATCCGTAAAAGAGTTGCCTATGAAACAAAGAGAGGCCGATTCATGTTTTCAAAATATATTTAACTCTCCGGAAAGAGGGGAAGATTATACCATACTACAAGCTATTTTCAATATCGACATGTTCATTCTAGTTATCACTATTATAAATGGACTTGGTGGCACATTGACTGCAATTGACAACTTGGGTCAAATCGGGGCATCCCTAGGGTACCCTCCTCACAGCATAGGCACATTTGTGTCCCTAGTGAGTATATGGAACTACTTAGGTCGTGTCGTGGCGGGTTTTGGTTCGGAACACTTATTAACCAAGTACAAGATTCCAAGGCCTCTTGTGCTCTCCTTCATGCTCTTCATCTCTTGCATTGGCCACCTTCTCATAGCTTTCAATGTGCACAATGGGCTTTATTTTGCAACTGTGGTTATTGGGTTTTCCTATGGAGCCCAATGGCCTTTGCTATTTGCAATCATCTCTGAATTATTTGGGCTTAAATACTATGCAACATTGAACAATGTGGGTACAATGGCAAGCCCTATAGGAGGTTACATTCTCGGTGTTAGACTAACTGGCTATTTATATGATAAAGAAGCCCAAAGGCAAATGCATGCATTGGGCCGGATTAGGAAAGAAGGTGAAGAGTTGACTTGTATTGGCCCAAAATGTTTTCAGTTAGCATTTGTAGTGATCACAGGGGCTACTTTATTTAGTATGTTTATTTCACTAATTTTAGTGGTTAGAACAAGGAAGTTTTACAAGAGTGACATTTATAAGAAGTTCAGGGAGGCAGCTGATGCAGTGGAGGCTGAGACCGCCAGTGGTGCCGTAGTGCCGGATAATGGGGCGAAGAAGTCGGAACTGAAGGTGGCAGAAAGCTAGGAGTGTTTAGAGGTGTTTTTATACCAAGCAAATTATTGGTAACGAACTAAGCTAATATATGTACTGTTGTATTGTTTAGATTTTGATGAACGGGTTTGGGCCACACCCGTCATAAGTGTCCACTTTATATGACCAAAGATGTTCCATCCCAAAACCATATGGTAATGAGAGGAGTAGCCCCTTCGCCTTATAAAGTGGACACAACTTTCTCTTTTCTTCAACGTAGATCCAAATGGGACAACACATCTCAATATTCCTCTTCACTTTTATACTCTTTCAATGTGGGACAACACTTTCACTCACATGTGGATTTTGCTCATGAACTCAACATATTTCCATCATATATATATCCAAGTGTATTATGAACATGCTTTAATTTACTAACACATAACACATTCATATTCTGTATGCAAATTTGTGTATTAGGTAAAAACAAGAAAACGATAGGGATACATTGTTTTGGTTAAGTTAAACATTACACCCGAGTGTATGGAAATTCTCGTGTGATGCTACGTATGATGTAACAAATGAAATGTGCTTTAGGATGAGGTCGTCATGCATATATCAATATATGGTCATACATATGGTGCCAATCGTATGGGCATACTTGGATCAATTTTAGCAATACATGCATTTATTACCAGCAATCCTAATTGTAGTACCAATACTTTTGGACATTACATAATATGTACATGCATCAAGATTTATGTCCCCAAGTCTGCTCCTTTCAGCACTAGTTGCCATTTGCAGCACGCAATATCTTAGTTCATCACAAGATTCAAATTCCTTGATAGAGTAAAAAATTTAAATAATTAACACATATAAAAATATTTTTGAAAGTTTATCACATCAATCAGTCCACTAAGCACTTTATTAGAACCTTATATAAAATTCTTCACCTGAATTTAATTAATTGTCACATTGTTCTAATCTCTTGACCCCTTAACTTCTAATCAAGTATCCTATGTATTCTTACAATTTCTTGCACTAGATTGTGTCATTTATCTATCTTTATCATTACCTATTTTTTAATAAGGCCATGAAATCATGAATGTATCCTAGAACATCTAATCATAAATTAGCGTGACTATTAATTTCGAACAAAGTCCTACTAGCATAGTACTCCGTAGTATATACAATACAATACACAAATACATACAGTTGTACACCGTATCGATTGTCCAATGTAGTGGACATGATTGGTCATTTTCTTCGGACTTCGATCAATACCTATTTTTTAATAAGGCCATGAAATCATGAATGTATCATAGAACATCTAATCATAAATTACCGTGACTATTAATTTCGAACAAAGTCCTGCTAGCATAGTACTCCGTAGTATATACAATACAATACACAAATACAGTTGTACACCGTATCGACGGTCCAATGTAGTGGACATGATTGGTCATTTTCTTCGGACTCCGACCCATTGCATGCATGGAATTTTTTTTACGCAGCTTGCTTGCTTTGAATGATCTTATAAAATGTTTTCTTCTCCTTTTGATTAGAGTTTTTAGTTTAGGTTGCATTTTAATTTTATTCATCACTTACTTTCTAAGATATGAAATTTGATAGATACAATAATTCCTGCGATTCTTTTAATGTAATGAATTGATGATGTGATGTGTGCACTGCACTAATATGAATTGGAATTGAATGAGGAAAGTTTCTTATTTGTACCCCACTACTTGGAACTATGGATCATCCGCCCTTGCTTGTCGGAAATTAAACAAAAAATCATCAAAAAAAATCTATTTCCTTTTTTTGTCTTTTAATATTGTTTTTTATCTACCTACTATTTAACATGGATATATAATTATCAATGCAAGTTCTTTAGTTATTTTGATTCATTAGCGCATTTTACTCTTCTCTATCTTTTTTTTTTTTTTTTTATAATATATACTATGTATTACATGTTAATATTGTATGTATATATGTTGTAAGTAAATAAAAAAAAGGGAAAAAATATCAATGTATGTACAATTTTCATTATATATCAACTTAACCTTGCGAACAGAATATTTGAAATGAAGTTCGCTTCAAATCATTTCATTTCAATTCATTTTCAAACATCAAAGTTCATGATAAAATTATTAAATAATAATGGATAACCAATTTCGTATAAACTATTAAAGGTGATCAATACATGTTCAAATGACCTGGTTCAAGACCTACTCAATAATGAACACTTGATATTTTCATGAGCTGAGTACAACTAATAAGCTCGACTGGAGACCTAATTAACCAATGTAGTAGAACGAGAAGGATAAGACAAAATGGACAACAAACTTATAAAACCCAACAAGGGAAGTAATCCCCAAAATGGGCGTTACTTCCTTCCATATATATGTTTGCCTATTGCCAAATACATTCCCTTCACGCAAACATATCACGAAGCAAGGTTGAAAAAGCTACTATCATTGTCCCACTCGAATTGTCCCATAAGACGGAATATCAATACTCTGCATATTTTTTTTGAAAAAAGTTTTAGGCAAATACTCCGTAATAATGATATAAAAAAAATTGGTGAAGTGATATAAGATTATGTAAACTAGCTAGTAATCAACATGTTACTTATAATACGGGAATTTTAGTCGGATAGAGGGAGTACAACCAACATATACCATCATTTTCATATGATATAGTCCTAGTACAACGTAGACAGGTGTAAGAAGGTCACGTACATACTAAATTCCTTAATTCTGCAGTTTCTTTATTTTGTGCTAATTAATTTACTGCTACTGGCCTGGGTATTGGTATTGATATTGCTAGCTTCATCTTCACTGTCTTTCTCTCGTTTACCGTTTTCAATGCCTTACTGACTCCGTTATGACATCTTACACAGGGCCAGCTCATTGCCTCAAGCTTTTCATTTATTTTTATTTTTTCAAATTTCGAACTTTTTTTATTTTTTTGGACTTTACTACATTGCCATCAATTTTAGGGTGTAAAATTAATCTTGATCTATACATTTAATTCAAAATAGTGCTACTAGCAATGGCATTTGTTATGGTTTAGAGTACTTGATAGTTTGGGAAAGCATAAGTACGCTACAAAATCAAAGTGAATAAGTAAAGGAACTATATACTTCGTATTACAAAAATTTAACATGGCAAATGTGGCAATTTAGTCCCATGAGTGTAGTCTCGTGTGCTATATATGATATGATTGTTTATTTTATACACTATTAATTAAGGAGCTAATTACTCCATATGTGCTATTTATTGATAAGTGACTTGCGCGTCTCACCTTGGACGAGTGCAACAATCAACGTATTAGTATTTAAATAAGTATAAAATTTTATAGCAATTGTTTTCAAATTGCCTTAGCTTGTTTGATAAGGCCAGATTGGTTATAGTATGTAATATATATTCTTAAAAAATGGAAAATGAAATCTGCTTTCTTAGGTGTATTAAAATAAAATTTATTTTAATTTATTTATTTATTACTCCGATATATATTCGTAAATAACACATTTAATTTTATTTTATAATAAAAACAAAAGAAAGGGACGTACATGTTTCTAGGTACGTAACCCAAATGTATAACCGACATTACCCCTAAGATAATACAAAATATACATTCTTTTTAGAATCAAAATTACTCCAGTAGCACATACACACCTCATTAAAAGCTCATATCCAAAAAGAAATCTGTTTTGGTAAAATCTAGTCACAACCCTTATAACAAAAAAAGCCCTTTTTATAGGGGTTTATTTACATATGAAAGGAACAAACTCTACAAAGAATCAATGCAAAATTTAAACTTCAAATGTTACCAACAAACATTTAAATTAATTTAAATTATTAATAAAACATAAAATAAAAATTAAACTAGCTAGCTAGCCCATGCATATCCATCCACATCTATACCATTTTTATGATCACTGAAAACCGTCTTTATGGCATGACAAACTTCCTCCCCCTTCTAACCCACGCGGTACACCTTATAACCAAGTGCTAGCTAGCTGTTTTTTTTCTTTTTTTTTTTTCATAAATACAAGAAAATTCCCTCTAAATGTTTTTTTATATATATACCTTAAGAAATATACATGTATTTATATATAAATCCTCATATATAATATATATTCATATATTATTGCTTTCTTTCTAAACCTTATAAATAGTATTGTCATGGGTTCTAACACTACCAACAACAACAACAACAAACAACAACATTCCATGCATTATTCAACCTATGAATCTTCTTCAACCACCAACAACACAACTTTTGTTCAAGCTGACCCTTCCAACTTCCGTGCCATCGTCCAACAGCTTACCGGATCCCATATGACCGCCTCCTCGTCTCAAGGTGGCTCCGTCCGAAGGGATGGTTCAGATGGGGCCGGGTTTAAGCTTCATGAGAGGAGGCAGCAACAAGGTGCTATTAGGAAGTTGGAGATGATCGAGCTTAATAATAATAGTAATAGTAATAGTAATAATAGTAATGCCGCTCATAATTATAATAATCATCATGGGCCCTTAAATGGGCATGTTAGGGTTAGAGGAGGGCATGATGTGGCTATGGTTTCGCCCGTTTCGACATTGGATGGGTTAAGCCTCGGGATTAGAAGCCCGAGGACTAACCCTAGGAGTGGTAGTAGTATGAGTGAGGAAGAAGAAAGGGTGGTCATTGCTGAGAAAGGGTTTTATTTGCATCCGGTTAGTCCTTTAAGTGGTGGTAGTAGAGATTTTGAGCCTCGACTCTTGCCTTTGTTCCCTCTTCATTCTCCTAGAGATAATGGTCAAGGTTAAAATAATTAATTTAATTTCTATGATTTTGTTTACTTCTACTATAAATTAGAAGTATTATTAGTTGGGGAAATAGAAGAATTAATAATTTTTTAAGTCCATTAGTTTTCTAATTAGTGGTTGCATTATTGTATCATATTTTTTATTTATCATATAGCAAAAAGAGAATTGGCATGGTTGATTTATACAATGTGGATTGTTACCGCATGATGCTTCTAATGTTTTTTTTTTTTTTAATCAATAGTTACGTTTCACATTTCATCAAAAGTAGATTATAAAAAGGTGTACAGACTATATATTATAAACGAGATAAGGTGATAAGGATGTTTTGAAATTTTGATAAGACAAACATTTGTGTCTCAATAATAATGAATGATATTGAAAGTCTCAAAAAGCATGCATCAACAAGATGTTATGGGGTATATCTAATTAATGGTTAGTTGTAAAACTTGTTCTTGACGTATAAAAAATTTAATACTTTGTATACACTAATTTATACTAATTAAATTAGTTGTTTTGTGCGCTAAATGCAAAATTTCCAATAGTTGATTTTCTTTAGTGTAGGATTGAATAAGATTAAACATTATCAATGTAGCTAACATTCAAAATCTTAATAGCTAAAAAGGAAAGAAATCACACTTATTTTATAATGATAGTCTATGTTTACATTAAGGAGGATTTTTTTATCTTTCTTTTTCTTAGGAACCCATGGACAACAAAACTTTTCACACCTTTTTTTGCTGCAAGAAATCTATAAATTGTTTAAACTTTCATAATATTTTATATGGTTTCATATCTTTTATGCTACAAGAAATTTGTAAATTTCTCAAGAGAAACTTTTGCGTGAGACCGGACTCACCGTGAGTCTAATATATCTAACATTAATAATCTAATATCAGATATTAAATTATTAATGTTAGATATATTGGACTGGCCATGAGCTGAGTCTGACTCACCCAATTTTTTTTTCAATTTCTTAAACTTTCATAATAAAAATATATAACTTATTGATTCATGAGATAATATCCGTCACATCTTGCAGATATCCGCTAATTAAGTCTTCACTGCAATAATGGATGAATCTTGAAATTCTCAATAAGCTCGCAATGACAAGTTGGCAAGGAGTCCATCCACTGACTATAATTGCTTTGAAAGGATTTGATATTCTACTCATACCAACAAGATACATTTTTTTAGTGAGTTTATCATATTCTAAGATATGTACACCAATGATAAGTGTGATGGGTTGAGAGTAAAGTTAGAATAATAGACGATCTTTTGGAAAGTTTTCTGGATGCGCTTAAGTAAGGAGAAAATACGCTAAAAAGAACTTATACTGGTTTGTGAGGATTGTTATCGGTCCTAAATGCACATTCCATGACAATTGCTTGGCTCCACTTGAGGCCAATTAAGGATTCTCCATTCCAATCGATCAAGGGTTGGAGACTTGAAGTATTGTTTAATTTACCATGTATCATATAATCGAAAATTGAATTAAGTGCCTTAAGTGTTATATAATCCCTCAATAGTTAAGTTTTTTTTTTTTTCCTTGTATTCTGTTTTTATCCAGCACTTAATAGATAAACATTGAAAAGTGTGAAGAGGAAGCAATTCAACTACAAACACACGCATAACACACAACTGAAAAAAAATTAACAGGCGACAAACACCTATCATTTACGCTCATAAAAGTCTTATTTATTTGTCGCTTGCTAAATGCTTTTGATTCTAGTATGCAACTACCTTCATGGTAACCTTCATGTGAAACGACACACATCAAACATGATTTGAAAGTATCTAAGTAATCTTAAATTGCGCAACGGTTGTACTTAACCTTTTTTTTTTTTAGTTTTGTCGCCAATAATGCTAAAGCCGAAGCTAGATTGTTTACTTCTTATGACATGCTTAACTCATCATCAACGAAAGAAGTGATGCTTTTTGGAACAAATTGATTGTAACATTTGCAGTTTATACATAGGAAAGAAGAACGAATTGAATAATTATATCTTTATGTTTAGAATTTCAATTTTTGGACAATTTTAGTTCACAATAATCCATCTCACATCCCCTCATCTTTGTTTCCAGCATATCCACTATCATATTGTCTAGCCTCCAAAAGCATTTAATTAGCTACCTCACATTATTTAGTACTTATTGCTATATAATTGTATTTTTTAGTGTAGAGAGAGTAATAAGACCACAAGGCTGGACAAATTATGTAGACGGAATTTGATCCTAGGTCTTGAGTATCAACTTTTAAGCCTTTAACCAACTAAACTAACACACTATATACTTCTATATACTTCAATTCTAAAATAATCACACATATTGTCAACATAGTCTCTTGATAATTATTTACAAGTATGGGTGAAGTAGAATAAACCATTGATTCCCTTCTATCTTATTGTTTTCTCTTCTCAAAAACAATATGACATTATTAATATCATCGGAAATTAAATATTGAAATGCATCGCCAAATGTAGGACATGATACACAAAAAAAAATTAAAATTAAAAAAAGAATAAAAATTAAAAAATTAAAATTAAGAATAAATCAGTTTTCTTGTCAATACTAAATAAGTTACTACGTCCATTTCATAGATTAATTACAACAAAGGGGTATTATTTGTGAGAAATAAAAAAATTCAAATAAGTTACTCATAATAAAAATCAATTATAATATTTATTTTTTTTTGAGACAAATCAATTATAATATAAGAGTAATAAACTTAATTAAGGCGTGCTCTCAAAATAAAAAATTACTTGAGGTGAAATTAAATCAAGTAAAAAGAGGGTTTTATATATCCCTTATATCTTGGCTCCATTTATATGTGCTCTCTCTCTCTTTATACTGTATTCTTCTTCTTTTAATATACATTAATTAATCGTGAATCATTATTATTACCTTGTAATGTCAGTGGCGGAGCCAGGATTTGCAACTTGAGGGGACGGATTATGAATATAATATAATTTGACAAAAATCAATCAAAGCAACGAAAAATCAGACTAAAAAGAGATTAATACTAAGAAATCCATACTCCGATAAATCAAACAAAGTATTATTTAAAAAATAGCGAAAATCAAACAAAATCACACACTAGAATGCTCAAACTTTTACAAAAATAAATCAAAAGGACCGATAATTCACACTAAAATAAGATTAACATGCACGATCAACCAAAAACAAATAATCAGACAATCAAAATCCACATTTTCCAGGAAATTAAGAATCAAATAAGAAAATCGCATAGATCTGAAGCAGAGTCAAGAACGAAGAAAAGAGAGAAAATGAGGACGAACCTGATGAGAAAAAACGGAGATTAAAATGAAGAACCCTAGAATGCTAACCCTGGAGGCACTAAGGCAGGCAACGAAGCCAGCGACGGCCGACGGTGAGGACTGAGGCAACGAAGCCAGCCAACGGTCGAGTTGTCAATTAAGGAATGACTGAATGAGTGGATGAGATTTACATAATAATAAAACCTAAGATTCTAATTCAACAAAAATTGTATTTAAAATTAAGAAAAATCAACTAAATTCACAATGTTTATTATATATTACAATTGAAACATTAAAATCCGAAATTAGGGTTAACAATTGGGGATTTCAAATTGGGTATTTCAAATTAGGGATTTCCAATTAGAGTTAACAAATAACAAGACATACTAAATTAATTAATTAAATCAATGTATATAAGGTAATAAGAGTATAAGAAATTAAGAGATTTCAGATTTAAGACATACCATTGATGGATTTGATGCAGCGAAGACGGACGAGTCAGCGACGAGGCTTGTGGCTGGTGAGGACTGAGGCAACGAAGAACGGAAAGCCGACGGTCTACTGGAGTATTGGGTCAGGGACTATTGCGACTCGAAGGACGGTGGGACGAAGTGCCAGAGTGGAGCCGACGAGTTAGGGTTTTGCGATTTTTAGAGAGAGAAAGTTAGGGTTTCACTTTTCAAACTTCAGTTTTTCTTTTCTTCCTTCTTTCTGTGATTCTGTCCGTTACTCTTTCTTTTCTTTTTCTTTTTTTTTAATTTTTTTTTAAATTTGGGGGGACAAGTGTCCCCACATGTCCCCCACTAGCTTCGCCCCTGTGTGATGTACTTATGTACAGTCACATAATGCCTCTAAAAAAAATACTTCCTCCGTTAATGATTATTTGCAACAAACGTACCGTTCACGGAGGCCTAGGCAAAAGTTTTTAAACATGATTATTGAAATATAATGGCATGTACTTAAGCACTAATCCAATTAAAAAAAACAAACCCACAATTAATCAGAACCACTAAAACCTAGAACCCAGAATCACCACCACCACCGAACCCATCGTAAACCACCACCACCACCACCACCGAACCCACGTAAACCACCACCACAAAACTGACGCCACCCCCACGAAACATATCTGAACCCCTACAACCACCCCACGAATTAGACGAACATACAAACCCAAACCCACGAACAAAACGAACCCAGCCACCACCACGAACCCACCCACGACACCCCCACGAAACCAAACCCAAACCAGACCCACCCAGCCACCACAACGAACCAGACCCACACCACCCCCAAGAAACCAAACCCACAACTACCTTTGGAACCAGACGAACAAACGAACCCAAACCCACGAACCAGACGAACCCAGCCACCACCACGAAACTACCCACGCCACCCCCACGAAACCAAACCCAAACCAGACCTACCCAGCCACCACCACGAACCATACCCACGCAACCCCCACGAAACCAAACCCACGACTACCCATGGAACCAGACCCACCCACCACGAAGACCCATCTCCACGACACTCACGCCACCCCCACGAATCAGATCTGAAACCCCTACAACCACCCCACGAACCAGACGAACAAACAAACCCAAACCCAGGAACAAATGAACCCAAACCCACGAACCAGACAAACCCAGCCACCACCACGAAACCACCCACGCCACCCCCACGAAACCAAACCCACGAACCAGACGAACCCAAACCCAAATCGCAAAAGGAGAGAGAAGAGGGAAGATGAACCAAAATGTAAGGTTAAGGTTTAAATTTTGGAGATTTCAATTAAAGAAGGGTTAGGGAGATGAATGATTTTGATGAAGGTGAATAATTTTTGGTGAAAATGATTACAATAATCAGATTCATTAGGTAAAGAGTGAAATAAAGTCAATGATTTAATTAGATGTCTAAGTTGTTTAAGTAAGGGTAATATGGTCATTTTGTTGACAAAAAGTTACTAAAAGTGGAAAGAAAAAAATTTGTTGCACATAATAGGTAGCTCCCCAAAATGACAAATGTTGCAGATAACCGTTAACGGTGGTAGTGTATCACCTTTATCTAGAAGTATTTTGTAATCAACTATGTTCTACTATCTTTTATTTATTTATTTTTAAATAATTAATCAAACTAATCTTGTTTATTACATTCATTTAAATTTTAATCAACTAAATTCTACTCTCTTACCTTATTATTCAACTTCCTAATTAATATGTAAAAAAAGACAAACTAAACTTTTGTTTGGGAGCAAAATGTGTAATTTTTTATTTTTTATTTTATCTATAAAGAATTAAAGATGCTTAATTTCCAATAGTAATCTTCTAACTAATGTTTTTTTTTTTTTGAGAGACCTCTTCTAACTAATGTGATTAACTCTGTATTTAAAAAAATAAAAAATAAAAAATAAAACCCTAATGAGATTTTGTTTGGCATCGTTTTTTGTTTTCAGTTTTTTATTTTTTGTTTTTTATTTTTTAAAACAAAAAACCAAAAACAGGAAACAAAATTGACTATGTTTCAATTCATTATATGACATTTATCATATAATTTTGAAAAACAAAAAATCAAAAAACAGAAAACCATAATGATGTCAAACGAACCCTAATTAATTACATTTCCTTTAAGAAAAAAAAAGTAAAAACAAATTTATTAACTGTAAGGCTTCTATTCACAAAAATATAGGTAAAATGGAAAACAATTTCAATTATCATCTGATTTTTGAACCAATTTGTGTATAAGTTTTACTTTATGAAGCAAGCATGATATTACATAAATGAACAAGTATTCCCACTCCTCAGTACACATTAATTGAAACTATTTGATACAAAAGCAAAGAAAAGAAGTAATTTATTTGCTGCTGTTATATTATCAGCCAAAAACTACAAAAGAGAAACAGGTCTTCCCATTGTCATAACTGACAATCCATTGAAGTTTAATCATCGCTTCATCGGTTCCACAACGATGATTCTTCCCATCATATATGTACTTTTACTCAGCAACATCCCCAAAAATGATGCTGCAATACTGCAAAAGAATAGTTTCAAGTGCAAATTGATTGTTGTTGATTGTATACTATGTTATTCCCAACAGCATTAGCAGCAATATGTTGTCGATTTCTCCTTCGTTTTGAGACTACAACAAACCCTTCTCCATCCCCAACTTTGTTTGCAAACTTAGCATTGATCTTCTCGGGATCATTCGATCTTACAACCCCATCTGCCTTCTCTTCACTTCCTTGGAAAATCTTGATAATTGCACTATCATTTGCTATAGCTTCTGAAGAGTTCTGCCAGTTTCCTGACTTCTTAACAGTCCTAGAAGACTCGTTTGAACGATCTGATGAACTCTTCTGCACTGACTTTACAATGAAGCTGAGTAGAATTTGCCTTGCTAACTCTGCCTTTTCAGCCTCAGAAGTACTCTTCTTTGATCGATCATCTTTCGACACTTCTTTCCCATCAGTTTCTCCTGCATCCTTTACCACATCAGGAGATGAATTTGCATCAGCTGTCAATTTCTGAGGTACAAATTCAGGAGCATCAGGATTCATGACTGTCGCACCACCTTGTTTAGCTGGCACGAAATGGTTTGTCCTGTAATACAAAGGTGACCTTGGACCACATGCAACTCTAGCAGAAATAGGAGGGAACTCATAGAAGTTAGTAGCTCCAAGGGTTGTTGGATTAAAGGGTGGAGCCGAAGCAGAGAGTTTTGACCCTTTAGTTTCCAAGGCTGCCTTGTCCTGACTATTTAAACACGGCATTTCATCATTATCAGGAACTACCATCGTTTCACCTTGTGGAGAAGGATTTGTAATGTCATCAGAAACTTCACTTTCTTCTTCATGAACAAGATTCACATCATCTGCATCATCGCCTTTTCTACCTTCTTCAGAAATTTCAGGAACTTTCTGATTTTCTTCTGCATTAGTAATTTCTTCCTTCTGCGGCACAGGCTTGAATATAGTTCCTGGGGGTGACATGGCAACTTCTTTGTAGGAAATTGCCTTTGAAGCCAAAGCAGTAACAGTTTTCTTCGATTGTACTTGAGTTCTTGATTTCTTGGGTGGAGAAGACTCCTTCAAGCTCATGGTATGATTCATCACTCTCTGCTCTCTTGGCATGACTCCAGATACATGGCCATTTTCTTTAGCCTTTGAAGAAGCAGAATGATTGACTTTTACTTTCAGATGATTAGGCCGTCTTTTACGGAACTTGTTCTCGTTGGCATTGGCAGAACGCACTTTCGTGCTGGCTTCTTGCCACCCCTCATCTGAACTTGTATCAACAGCCTCTCCAAAGACAACCTGCTCACCAATAGTAACATCGCTATCATTTGATTCTTCAGGAATTTGTTCTTCTGCTTCTTCTTTAATAACAGTTCTTTCTTCCACAACAACAGTATCATTTATTATGTCATGATCTTCATGTGCTGAGCCATTTGACACTTGACCCTGTTCCTGACCCTGGATGTTTTCAGCAACCTGCATTATCTGATAAAACCATATAAACATGTTATACAAACTTGCCCAAGTAAATTAGTAACAGATATCTAAATGCACATAGTTATAACAATGGTCTATATGGTATATATACCTTTGAACGCCTATGTTTCTTCAGAGCATCTCCACCCTTAGGGTCATGATCAGGACTAATAAAATCAAGGAGATCCGATACACTGTCAAAGAGAGCAGCTAAATCAATCACTGATACGTTTGTAATCCTGTAAGACATCTAAATTGCATAGAAACCCTATTCAATTTGCTTGATTGAAGATTTTTACAACAGTTTCCCCATGTTTCCTTTTTATTTTTGTTTTCTTATCATTTAATCCTTAACATTTTTTTAGGCAATAAGTGTTGTAAAAGGCAGCCTTACATACTTTTGAAGTATATAATGGTAACTTTAAATACTTTTAGGGTAACTTTAACCCGCCCTATAATAACTTAATGAAAATACGCCTAAATCAAGAATTTGTGTTTTTTAGGGGGGGGGGGGGGGGGGGGGGGGGGGGGGGGTTGTGGAGTGGAGCAGGAAGTATTCTTTCTTAGACTATACTGTTTTCTTTACTGACAAGCAAAAGAGGTTTATGTTCCATCCTGTATCATTGTCATAATTATCATATCACTGCATTAAGTTAGGTTTACTGCAGTTAGCATCATGATTACCTTACAATTACCATTTGCATTACTTCCAACTACAACAACTCAGGCAAACATTTTTAGTACCTAAGATGCCCTTTGCTAGCAATGGATGCATCCGGTTTTGGTGTTCCTGTCCTTGCCAGTTCCTGCTGTTCTATTACCTTAGATTCAAAATATTCCAGCCACGCTGCTGCATCCTATAAAATCAATAAACTGCATAGGATGAGTCTTGAGACCTTGTATTGATCAAACTCAACAAACATACAAATTGACGAAATGTCAACTATGAGACCACCGATTACCTGAGTACGAAGGTCTTCTGCTCCAAGCTTGGCTTGAAGAATTTTGAGCGTAGTTTGCTCATGCTGAACACTGAGTGAGAAGGCCTCCATTAGTGAAAGTGCAATCGCTATGGCATGATAACTGGCAGCAGTCTGTGAGCAACAATCAAAGAAGCAAAAAATTACTTGATACAAAATCCAATGGTATCACTGTCAAGGAAAAAAAGTTTACACATGGGATAACAAAGTTCAATTCGTGACAAATTAAGTATTGAACAAGCCAGAGTCCAACAGCAAAAGCAAAAAGATAGGATAGTGTGAAAAAAAAAACCTGGATATGATCAGCTCCTAAGAGCCTCTTGTTGCATTTCAAGGCTTCATGAAGATAGCGGAGAGCAAAGTTGACATTCCCCATCCCCTCTTCCATCATGGCTACGTTTATATAAGTTGCAGCACTATTTGGGTGCGATAGTCCACACGTAAAGTGGAGCAAAAATAAAGCACGGTTGACATACCTGGCAATAGGATGTCAAATTTAATGTAAGAAGAGTGGAACTGTGGAAGACAATAGAGGGGTGAATATCTAGCAAAGCATGCAGATTAGTGAATAAAGCAAGTTAGTGAATAAGTTAAACATACTTGAGTGCTAATTCGATGTGTTGGAGACGATAATAAAATACTGATAGATCCCCATAACTCTTCATAGTATCAGGATGATCAGGCCCAAGTTCCCTTTCATTGATATCTAATGCCTTTTGCTGATAAATGGTAGCCTGAAAATAGAAAAAAAATCAATTCAGCCCTATTAACTATGTTACAACAATATTCAAGCTAAAAACATCTGAAGTTAGCATACAAGAATCCAACTTCAATGGTAGGCAAACATTGTTCATTGATTAATCCATCAACAAAACATTTATGTTGACAAGATACTTCAACAGAATTGATCAGTAGTCACATTAGCGAAATATATAAGAAAGTATTAATTATATGAATCTTCACAAATCAGCTATTGTAACAATACATTACCTGATTGAAATCTCCTGTGTGGTATAAGACTACAGCAAGAAGACTATAAGCACCTGCAGTTGTTCGATGATAGGGACCGCATACAGCAATGATCTTTGCTAGAGCCTTCGAATTTAACACAATAAAGGAAATTTAGAATATTTTTTATAATTTAAGGACAGCACAAACAATTAGGCATAACACATTAACACTAAACAGATTGTAGCACGTCAACTCTAAACTCATACCTTTGTTCCATAAGTAACAGCATCTTCTAGCTTCCCCTTGTCTAGAGCTACCTTGGAAGATTCCAACAGAGTTCGGCCATCTGCAGAGGAGCATATCACATGCTGCAGAGGATAATAAGAAGAATTAGACCACCAGGGAAAAAAAGACTGATGAAAACAAAAAATAAAGGGGAAATTAAGAAAATATATATTTACCTTGCACACAGGAACCATGCTGATAATATCTTCTTTCCTAAAAGGATTTGGAGCATCGACATCATAGTCTCTTGGAACCAACTCAAAACCAACCTGGAAAGGATAGTAGGATTAATCCCAGTGCTATGAATAGGAAAATAAAGGTCCAAGGAGCACAAAATCACAAACAAAGAAAAAAGAACCTTGTGGCAGAGGCCTCGAAGAATCGACAACTTCCTTAAGTGAGGAAATTCATCATTGAGCTTCCACCCAAATCGGCTTAAGAGGAAAGCCCTTAACCACCTAACTTTAAGCTCATACTCTTGAAATTCGGTGTTTTCACTATTATTAGTAGAAGTGGACCCAAAGAGGACATTCAAAGATGTTGCAATTGCTGCTGGTATTTGCGATACATCATCAACAGAAGCAACAGAAGCTTTCACAACATACTTGAAAGCCCGGGTGACCATTTCATGGACACATAGGGATTGTATGTGAGGAAGTTTCTCAGCTAACTCGACCTGAATCACATACGAAAAATACATCTATATTAATCAAATCAAATCATGGAAAAAGATCACCTCATAGCCCCGAAAAACAGGAATGAGCAACTAAAGACAGTTAATAATATGAACAACACAAGTGAAGGAAAAAGAAGCTATTAAGACACTTCTAGTAATTTGCCATTTTTGACTAGTTTTGAATAAAATGATTTGAACAGTTTCCTTACCACACGACCCAAAGAACTCATCTTCAGTCCCCTGAGATGCATAAAATCTGTAAGTGTGCGTCCATCAACAGGAGATAGTTCAAGAGATGCAAAATCTGTCACCTGAGCTCATAAAAAAATGTTGTGTTAGACAACAGTGCATTAGAGGAGAAAATCAAATAGGGCTAAATGAATGGCAGTTAATTACCAGCTTTGGTAAAGCGATTTCATCATAATAGTTGTAAATCATAGTGATAAGTTCATCTATAGTCTGTGACAGAAAACATAGATGATATAATCAGCTAAAGAAATTCCATCAATTCAAAGGGATATCTCTAAATAGGAAAGTTCAGAAACCTTAAGATGAAGGCCAGTTCCAGATTCTTTCAAGCGTAAGAAAGCTTCTTCAGAGAGTAGCTTTTCCAGCTCAGAAACTTCAGTATCTTTGCTAAATCCATTGGTTTCAGGGCCAGAAACTTGAGATTCTTTCTCCTCTCGTCCATCTGAAGAGTCCACACTGTTAGGCTTTTTCTCTCTTTTCTTTAGCGACTTGAATTCTTTTCCCAAACCTTTAACAGTAGATTCACTATTTTTCTCATTGCCAGCTTCCTTGGGATTTTTTTCACTTTCCTGCTTCTGCAAATGCTGTACCCAACATGAACCAAGTTCCCATCTAATGCCGACTTCAGCCTCCGCAGGTTTTTCCTCCCCTTCCAAGTTGGCTAAGCTATCATTAAGTATCTTTATGACTTGAGATCTAGGATCTTCTAGTTCATCAGATTGTGCCACGGGAGATGTGCTTTCTCCAGAGAGTTCAGCGTTAATTGGCTTGTGTAAGGGCATCCTTAAGCTGCAAACATATATAAAATGCAGAGATATGGGGCATATAAGTACGTACACCAGTAGACATACTCCATTCTTACGAAAAAGCAGTGTTAGAAATACAATATTAGGATTTCTGGAAAAAAATGTCATACTTTCTAAAACAACAATGATATGTGATGAATACCTTTTATTAGAATTGAATAATTTGGAGCGTAAGTAAAATTCAACTATTATAAAGGGAGGATCTTGGAGGGGCTAGAGGCTTAGAGCCTTAGAGAAAAGTGACTATTATTAATCCGGATGGAGGGAGTACACTGCACTAGCTAATTAAAGCTAATTCTTCACAATCAGCTAAATAATTAAAATTAATTTGAGGGAATAATGAAGGAACTCAACGTAATTAAAGCTTATACTAACCTGTAAACATTGAGGGCATTAGCTCCTCCATCAGGCTGATCTTCAACTTCAACATCATGGTGTTCAAAATTCTTCTTGACATTTCCAAGAACTTTAACAGTCGCAGTGTACCCACAATACCTTAAAGTGACAGTTCCAAGTGAAGAAATATCCTGAAAAAAAGATGTTCACTACTTCATTAACAAACCTTCACAACTACATCAAATGAAGCTACAAATTGTTTACAAGTAAAACTCACATGAACAGTCACATTTTCATCGGCAGTCAACCCTTTGATCAAATTTCTCTGAACAACCCCTCTAGCAGAAGTTTCAGACTCCTCACAGAAGAGAGACTTGTCATCAGGCTTCAAGTTAGCATCAGCTAAGTCACGTTTAACCACAATGCACAGGTCACCCACACGGCTTTCATGAGAATCTCTTCCATAGGAGTCTGATTCTATCAAATGGCGTATAGTATCTACAGCTTTAAAGATTGACACGTCGACAAATAAACTGTGGAGCAAGAAAGCCTTTCGATCACGTATCACTCTCTCCTCTTCAGTTTTGCAGGGCAAGCTAGCCAACGTAGCAAACTCTGTCGCCCAAGGTCGAAGATCATGCTCGCCATTTCTTCCTTGACCTCCACCATTTCCACCCCAATTCTCATCCTCGGTTGGCAGGGGTAGGAAGTTTGATGGAGATTCAGCAAGCGAAGGTGGGGTAAGCCAACAATTTGCACGGAATCCATAAGGAAGATTGCCAAACTGGAATTCCACACAGTTTCATAAGTTTGATCTCTTTTGATCTTATAAGACACAACAAAGGTCTGTACAATAAAACATGTACGAAGTACAAGTGTTCAAGACAGAAACATTCTGCAAGCATTACCTTATTGTGTTCCACAAAAGCTTTGATAAGTGCATCATATGCCTATGATTTTAAACAAGAACACAATTTTTCGCTTAAGTTAGAATTAAATACATACAACTATATAATTTTTTAGATAACTTAATCCTCAAGTATACTCACATTAGCAAATGCTTGGCTGTGCTGATGCAGGAGATCCACTAAGGAGTGAGATTGTACTAACTGCTTGCCCAAAGTGTAGAAGCCTTTTTTGGAAGCAACGACTTGTATTATCTTTCCATTGCAAATCTTGATCTATATTTAACTGCATTAGTAAACTACTCACAACTAGAACCACTATAACAACCATTACAATAACAAATCTTTGCATTTTAAACCATTAATCTTCAACTCGAAATCTAGAATTACTTGTAAGCTGAAACCACTATAGTTTATAGTCAAGATTATAATGTTCAATTCCAATATGTAAATTCAGACATTCTTTGAAAACATACATCTACAACTCCATTCTTTCTAATTTTGGACAACATTAATCTAAATTTGACCATCCACCTTATTCTTAATTAGAAAGAAATTTTCACTTATCAAACATTACCCAGTAAGTTTTTCTGGATCCTTCAAAATCTGTAAAGGTCCAATAGCACGATCATACACTTTAATAGGTAGAGAGACTAAGGATCCATTTGCTTCACTTACCTTAGAGATTTCAGAAATATATTTGATAACAAATACTTCCTCTGTTCTTATTTTATTACACCATAGGGGTTGGGCACAAGTTTTTTGGTAGTGGAAAAAGGATGAGAGAGAAAGGTAAAAATACAAGATTGCCCATGTGATGGTTTACATTAACTAAAACAATCAACTGTTGAAAAGTAAGGGTATATTTGGTATTTGTAGTGTAAACACAAATATTTCTTTTTCTAAAATTTAAATGGTGCAATATTTGTGATACTTCCTTAAAAGAAAAGTGGTATAATATTAAAAAAACCGGAGGAACTACTACATATTTTCTAACTCGATTGGGTCATTAATGTTTGATTCAGTTAATTTTGGGACACTATTGATTCAGTTAATTTTGGGTCACTCAATAGTGTCATATAATTCATCTATAAAACTAGACACATCATTTTTCCATTAGAAAACCAAAGTAAATGTGTTACCTGACCCCATCAATAAGACAATACACATAGTGTCAAAATAAATAGGTCATAATCATGCACTAGAAAATCCAATCCAATATCTATTCAATATGTGCACTGTACATAACTGATTAACTATATGTCCATGTTATAATGTGTAACACACCAACACATGAAAAGGAAAGTACTATCAACGTAAAATTGACTATACAGAAGAACAGATATATACCTGTAATTCAAAAAAGTCCCCATCACGTTTATCTTCCAACCTTCTTTCACACCTCTTGATACCTGTAAATCAACCATCTCATTAGTATATGAAAATAACATGGAAAAAAAATATCATATTAGAATATAAACCAAATTTAAGAATATCTAACAACAATTTAATTGCGAAAACTTAACATTACATCAAAAGAACGCAAACAAACCACATGTAGAGTATGTAGTGTCAGTATTCTACAGTTCAATACCATGTCAACTTACAAAGTTTAAAATTCTTACATGCACCTGAGTGTATCTAAAATTAAGTGTATTCAATAATACTCCCTATATTATTTATGTGCATTAATCATTTTCATTTGTTTCAAAAGTTTTCGAAAGAGCAAAATATACTTTTGTCCAAATGCATAATACAAGGTCTCCTTAACTTCAACAATTAAGCTTATACAAGTAATTCTTTGATTAAAACAATAAGTCAATATTTTATGGTGAATTCCAAGCCACCTAATTTTGAAAACAACAAAAAAAATATGTGACTCAAAATTGATCACACTAGAATACAACACCAACCACACTATGACAAAATCACAAAAGTTCCAACCATGCATTTTGGGCCTTTTGGCCAATTATGATTCATGCCTTAGATAGTTAGATTCATATTATAATTAAAAATAAAATTTAAAAAATAATTTGTTTTAAAAATAAAAAAAATTAAAAAAAAAAAAGTCAAGTGAGAAAGAAAGAGTAGGACCCACCAAGAAGAGGAGGAGAGAGGTGAGAGAAAGAGAAAAACTCAAAAAATTCGGAGAGTTTAGGTGTTGGATGAAGAGCAGCCATGTCATTTTCTTCTGAGATAACAGAAATGGACGGTCCATTTTGAATTCTGGGCCCTTCATTTGATGGTGGTGGTCCCACATGTATTGGACTGTGGGCCTTACTCTTTTTCGATTTGTGGTCGGATGATGTGGGCCTTTGTCCTTTGGGCTTGTTGAACCAACTTGTACATGCCACAATGTCTAGTAGCCTCCTCACGTGGGCCATTGCTTGGGCCTTGTTATTATATTCATCTGTAAATAAAAATTGCATAAATTTAGCCAAATTGTTACTGTAGGTCTGTAGTAACTAGCTACAATGTAGTTGTACGAGTCTACGAGAGGTGAAAGTATCAATCAAATGAATGTTATATTACGTACAACAACAACAACAACAATATCAATAAGAATGATACTCCGAATTTAATATAGCCACGTAGCTTAGCAGTGTGCACGCCAAGTAAATTAATTGGTTTAATTCTTGAAAGGTGGATGGTAGTATGGTACGGTGTATATATTTTAGTCACATTCATAATTTCATCATCGAAGTTGTTTGATATTATGCACTCACCATAGAAGTGTTGATTAATCTTGCAATAGTCAAAATTTATATTACAAAGTACAACTTTGTAATATTTTAAAGTCACAAAGGTACTAATATAAACATAATTCAATCTCCAATTTAAAATAATACATTACCAATTGAATTAGTTAGAGTAACTGATATACGCATATGCGGCACATTTCATGTACCATTAGATTCCCCATGATTGCATAATTGTACCCAAGTACCTAACTACAAGTAAAAAACAAGAATATACACTACTGTAGTCACTAATAAGTGCATGAAGTTGCACCTTTTATTGGTGGATTTAATAAGTATCAAAAATGTGCATGACACATAAATGGCAAGCATCATGGTTATTGCCTGCACGGTTACATGGTACTTTGGTAGGTCAATTGTTGATATTATAAAATTTAATTTTCCTTTAATCATATATTTTTATACAATGTATCTTACATTCCCTTAGATACCATAAAATACACAGGTTTGATTTTATATTATAGTGATCAATGAATTGAAATTTATTGTTTAACTTTTGACTGAACAACAAAACAATACGGAGTATTATTTTCAACATCTTATCATTTATCCTAACCACACAAATTTAGATTGTCTTATCACTTTTGTACAGATTTTCATTAAAATAATTAAATAATTTCTTCCCTTCAAATTTTAAATTTTTTTACATGCATTGCGGCATTGCCCCTTAGCTCTTATTGTTTACTTTGCTATTTTGAGGTGAATTATTTCCTTGGCGGTTTTTTTTTTTATTTTTTTGAGTGTCTAACAATGACTAATTTTATATAGAAGTAGGAGGAGAGCCTACAAAGTATTACAGAGTATAATTCATCAAAACAAAATACAAATTAAACATGTGATTAATTTATACTTTATATTAAAGTTGTCCGCATTAAATATTTATCGTGTAATAGCATACTCCATATCATACACTATCATCTACAGGTTACTACATAAATTATTACTTCGTACATTTTTATATAGTACTTTTTCATGGTTTTTTGAAGTTAAAAATAACCAAAATTCAAGGAAAATTTGACAACTTCCTAAACTTTGTAATATTCATATCTAGGTTACCTATGAGAGTGAGTATAAATGAATAATTGTTATCAACCATTTTTTAGTAAATTATTTAAAAATTCATTGGTCATGGTTCATCTCATTTAAAAAAAATTAAGAATCCCACGTGCAACACGATATAATCAATTTAGCAGCAACAACTTCGATTGAATTTGAAACAATTACACAGTCCAACCATACCTTCAACCATCTTCAATACACATGGTTTCAGAGATGTAATTTCAACTTTGTCATTCAATTTTTGCCCTCTTACCTGAAAACCATAATCAACATTTAAATCCTAAAAATTACAAAATAATCACAAATTTGGCATTAATGGTTGATTTCCTTTATATGAAAAAATACAAAAATATTACGGAGTAAGCAATAAAAATGGTAATTTACACTCACCTCATGTGACAAAGAGTAGTTGGTAATATGGCATGTCTCTACATTTGAAGCTAATAACCTTCTCACATCTAATATCTTATCAGTAGATATCCCCTTCATACACATTCCAAAAAAAAATAGACATATCAAAAATTTTGTAGGTAGACAAAAACAATCCCATTTTAAAAACATTAAATCCAATTACTAGTTGAAATTACGCTATCAACGTGACAATTATTTCCGAACTTGATATATACCTTGAGAGTAACTTGGGAGTCATATGGGGTAATGACAATAATGTCAATAACACTAGGAACAACTGCAATACCACCATCAAAAAATAAAACCCAATCAATATAATAAGACGAACATAACAAAAACATTAAGAAATGATGAAAAAATAGTAGATAATTAATCAACCTTTTTCCTCTTTCTTCTTCTTCTCAGATTTTGGTTTGTGCCCTTTACTGCGACCTGATTTTGGGGCCATTTTTCTTTCTTCCTTTTTATTTTATTTTTGGGTTTGAGAAGAAAGAATTAATGGGTGGCAAAAACAGAGTTGCAGAGAATGAAGAAAAAGAGGGGAAATAAAGAAGATAGGAAGATAAGGGGGGGTTTTGGGGTTTTACCAGTATTGGAGATTTTAGAGAAATCCTGACCTCTCCTTATTGCTTAACTTATAATTGTCTTTTTCCTTTTTTTTTTATTTTTTTTCCTTTTCCTCTCTCTTCTTCCCCACTCTCTAGTCTCTATGCGAGATGCATGTGATGTGGGCTATTTAGCTATTACTCGTAGTTGAGGTTCAACTTATAGTGCTGTAATTTATGGGCGAAAATGCTAATAGTCGCAAGTGATGACTGTAAATGAAATCGTTTAAGTATGTATCTAATTTAAATTGTATGAGTATGTATATAATGTGGATGAATAGATGGTGATGTAGTGGGTAAATACGATTGGGTGAGAAATTGTATGAGTATTACGTGGAATGGTGACATAGCAAATAAATGTAATTAGGTGACGAGTAAGAAAAAGTTAATGATGAAATATACGAAGTGTATTATTAATTTGAAAATTAGTGATTGTTAACATAAATAGGAGATTATTTTAAATTTTGAAAAAAATAGGTAGTTATGGATTTTTTTTTAGGAAACTATTGTTTTAAATTATAATTGACGTCTCAATATCTCAAACTTTTTAGGTTTTTTATTAAAAAATACATATTGATGTTGTTTTTCACATTTTTCATCTCATACTTTATAATTTTACCGTCTAGATACTTTACAAATTAAATTGATAGAGTAGAAAACAAGACAATATTAAATACTTCATATATATACATATATAATTAAAACATAGGTTTAGTTGTGCTGTGATTGATTATTACTAATCATTTGACTTTTTGCATATTTTCAAGAAAATAACAACCTTTCCGTTGATTGATTACAAAGTTACAAGCTTCAGCACATCATTCTGTAATTTAGCAAAAAAAAATATGTTTTTAATATTTCCTCTACTAAGATTCACATCAACGATTTCTCATATGCTAAAAGCGTGAACAAATACACAACGTAAAATAATCATAAAATAAAACTTGCCTATAGTGGAATACCTTTTTGAAGTTATCACTTAACATTAACTTCTGAAAATTTTAAGAAATCTAGGTAAGTCAATCAATTACTCTACACTTTGATTGGTCTTCAAAGTTGTATAAACAATGTCGTATGGTTGGTAAGACTTTGCCATGATACAAGCAGATAGGATACCAATCACTTCTTCATAAACCAAAAACTAGTCAAAATACTCCATATGTAACTACTTCATAACAACTTAATAAGTCAGTAGTCTAATTACTGTTATTACTCCATCCGTTTCATAATAATCAATGACGAGTTTAACATTTTTTTATAATTAGATTCAAATTAACATAAAGCAAATTATATTAAATTTATTTATAAATTAATAAATTACGTAAAACAACATATAATTAATCGTTAATATTAGTTATCAATATGTAAAAATTATAAACATTTAATATTAAAATAGTATAAATCAAGACGAATTTAACAAGATTCTAAATAACTATATTTTTGTATAGCTATAAATCATCAAAGCTAGTCAAGGTGGAACACATGAATAGTGTAAAAGTTAAATTATTGTAACTATAAAAAAACGGAAGATGTATATTTTTTATAAGTGGGATCAAAGGAAGTGTTGTTTGGCTCAAAGAGGGCAACAAACCATTAATTAAAATAAATATTGAACAAAGCAATAATTAAATATATATTGAATACGAAACTATCTATGTAATTTTTATTTTTTTTACATAATTTAGTTTCTTTATATATTAAACTGAACAAACATTTTGGCCTATATTGACACTACCCAATAAGAGCTCTTGTCTATTATGTGTCTTAAAGCTTGAGTCTGACCCTATTATCATTGAGCTATTCTACCTTATAACCAAAAGGTCTAGTTGTTAGTTGGAGAGAAAAATAATAAAATATTAAAAAAAATAGTGTGAGTGAGATTGATAAGGGAGAAAAATAATAAAATAATATTGGATCCTTAGAGCAACTCCAACGGTAAGCTAATTGTCAAATTAGCTTGTTATGCCACATAAGCTTTTAAGTTAATTATCTTTCTAGCTAGTTTGAGCCCCAATGGCTAGCTATTAGCTTAGTATATAAATTATTAATTAATTATTTTCATCTTAATTACTACTCCCTTCGTCCCTTATTTACACGTCTACTTTCCATTTTACACGGGAATTAAGGAACTTAAAAGTCATGATTGGAAAGTACAAATATACATGTGGGGTTAGAGAGAGATAGAGAGAAAAAAAGGTTGTTGGTAATTATTGAAGAGATGGAGAGAGAAAGTGTTGGAAAATGATGTCAAAAGTACAAAAATAAAAATAAAAAAAATTAATGACAACTCATCAAAAAGAGGGAATATTTTCAAAAAGTACATTCTTAAAATAGAAACAGGCATGTAATTTTGAAAACCCCTAAAAAAGAAAATAGGCATGTAAATAAGGGACGAAGGGAGCATTTACTTTTAACATTTTATTTTTGGTAAGTTTTTTTCAAGCTAATTGCATATTCTAGCTCTTATTGTCAAGCTAATAGTAGGGATTACGACCCCTAACGACTACCATCAGTTGTTCTTATCAAATAACAAAGTGTTACAAACTAAAATGGGTAAAAAAAAATTAAAAAAAATGTTTGCCAACATAGTGTGTATTCAAAAAAATCTAACACTTCGTTGTTACTTCATGATAGAGTCAATGCAATTTCATCAAATAAAGTAGCTGCTAGGGGTGAGCACGGATCGGATATCCGATCCGAAAAATCAGATATTTGATATTCGTATTCGATCCGAATTTTCGAATATTCGGATATTTGGATATTCGAAATTTTCAAATTGGATAGTTCGGATATCCAATATCCGACCCATCTAACAATTTTTTTAAAAAAAATAAAATAAAAACAACTAGCCAGTCCATCCCATCCCCACCCACGACAACCCCATCACCACCACCTTTCCCTATTTTCCGACAGTCCCCTTCCCATCCCCCACCCTTCGACACTCCGACAGCCCTTCTCCTCATCCCCCACCACTGGAATCCCCCCTTCCCCACCACATACTCAACGAAATCAACCCCTCCTCCTCGAATCACCCTTCGATTCCCACCCCCAGCCCCGAAAACTCCAATTGAAAACTTCAAGCAAATCAATTGAAGCAAAGTCAACCACCTTTCCAATTGACATAAACAAGACCAAACTCCAACTCCACGCCTCATCCACTGCCTCCTCCGTCGCAACAAACGCCTTCAACGAGGGTTTTCTAGGTTTATACCAAGGTTTATTCCCTGCTATTATTCGCCACCTCTTCTATACTCCTATTATTGTGGGTTATGAACATTTGAGAAATGTTGCTCGTGTTGCTCAGAATCAGCATTCTGATGCTGTTTCTGGGTCTCTTTCTCTCTCCTCCAAAGCTCTTGTTGGAGGTTTATCTGGGGTTATTGCTCAGGTTGCCGTCGCAGCCCGCAGGTGGAGGAGTGAGGGAAGTCACGGCTGGTGGAGGAGTGAGGCTGTGGAGCGATATAAGAGAGTTACAGGGAGATCTGAGAAGTGAGAAGAGGGAGATCTGAGATTCTGAGAAGTGAGAAGAGGGAAATCTCAGATCTAAGATTTTGAGAAGAGATGAGAGAGGAGGGAGAAAATAGAGGAGAAAGACCGAAAAAGGCAGATTTTTGTCTTTAGGGCATTAGGGCATCTAATATTCTAGTACTATGAAAATATTTTAAAATGGTAAAAAAGTGTTTTTTCGGATTTCGGATCGGATACCCGATCCGATATCCGAAATCCGATTCGAAAATATTTTCGGATCGAATACGGATCGGAATTTCGGATTATCAGATAATTTTACTCAGCCCTAGTAGCTGTGCGTGCTATATCAAGAATTTCAAAAAAAAAAAAAAAACAAAAAACTATATTCAAATTCCCTAATTTTCAAAAAAATTCCCTAATTTTCTTTCCTAATGCCATAAATTAATTTAGTTTCCTTCCCTTTCTCCGTCACATCATATACCAAAACCAGACCTAAAAAAAGCGCGCGAATTATTCTCTCTCCTAAACAAACTCACCCGCCATTTTCTCTCTCCTCCGCCATGCCCGAGCTTCCCGAGGTTGAAGCAGCGAGGTCCGCCGTTGCTGAGAACTGCATCGGTAAGAAAATAGTGAAATCAATCATAGCAGATGATTCCAAGGTAATTAATGGAGTCTCGCATTCCGATTTCGAAGCTGCTATTCTTAACAAAACCATTGTTGCTGCTCATCGTAAGGGCAAGAACATGTGGCTTCAGCTTGATTCCCCTCCTTTTCCTTCATTCCAATTTGGTAATTCTTCCAAAACCCTAGGTTTACTATTTCTCGATTCTGAATTTTCGTTTCCCTAATTTGTTTTGATTTTAGGGTTTATAGAAAATGTTGGAAAATTTTAGGGTTTTTGAGATGGTGAAATTGTGCTTTATTTAGTACGTAATAAGAGTTTGGGGTGTTCTCTATTGAATTTGTCTAGAATTTGAAATGTTGTTTATGAGATGGCATTCTATAATATGAATATAAAATGTGAGAATTCTGCAATTTGCTGATTTCTAATCCATCATTCCATCTCATTTTAGAGTTAACATCTTCTTTTAATTTGCAGTCAAAGTTCATCAAATTTTTGTAAAACTATGTAAAAAGGGGGAAAAAAAATGTAACGTGGGATCTTGATAGGATTGTTTCAATGGGTTAGTAAATATTTCAACTTTAAATACTACATTTTATTAGTATGTAATCAAAACTATTAATGGAAAAGGTGTGAATTAAGACTGAAAAAGGGAGGCATCAACGTACAATGGGATTGAGGCAGTGTTAAATAGGGCCTTGTGTAAGGAACAATGATATGTCTATTTGTAACAAGAGGGGTGTATACTTCATTTTCCAACTTATATATATGTATATCTTCGCGTAAGATTGACTGTGTAACTATGATGTGTAATATGTCACAGGGATGGCAGGTGCTGTATATATTAAGGGCGTGGCAATTACCAAATATAAAAGGTATGATTGATAATTGTTAATCAATCAAGTGCTGATGTGCATCAAGTTTTACCTTATCTTTTTATGAATTATTTCAGGCTTTTAATTTTTTGCGTATCATTGTGATTGAATTCATTCCTATTACAGTATTTGCTTGTTTAAATGGTTTGTGTGCATAACACTGTAGATCAATCCTCATGTGGCCTTTGACCTACTCTAGGGTCTTTGACTAAAACTTGAGGTTAGGATTTAGGCATTAAAGAGACAATATATTGCTAAGTAG